CACCTGCTCCTTTTAGATCTTTCCCTCTATAAATGATGCTGCGAGGTCCATATTCCCTGAGGGAAAGAGTCTTAAGCTCTAATTGAATTGGGTGACACAAAAATATAAACCTCGTTCCCTCAAACAGTAAGAAAAGGCAGAGACTAGTTCTTGACACTGTCATGGTGCATGTACATCCCCATGTGCAGCAAAATGATTGGTTACTTTGTGCACAGAAAAGGCAGCACAGTCTGCTGTGAAGATAAAAAATATCATTAGAACAGCTGAGGGGAACAACTTTTACCATGCTGCACCATTGATTGTAGTGAGAAAAATGCCTAATTGACTGCCATATTTAAAAAGATGCCTCCCATATTCAGGCACATACTGTACTGTATCAGGGAGGTAGTTAGCATATGCTTCTGTAATGTTATGGCTTAGCAAATGCCATGTGATTGAAACAATAATAAATTTCAACTCCCAGTATATCACAGTAAATAGATGGATGGGAGGCATTCCAGGAACCTCATCGCTCATTGTTCATTCTGTAGCTTTATACTTCTTTCTCCTCTTCTCTTCTTTTTCATTTCTTCAAGCATGTCCTCACCTACTTTGCTGGGCCATTTGTTCTTATCATTATTGTTATTATATCCACACTGACCCAGGAAGACAACAGAACTAAAACTGTGAGCGGTAAAACTGTAAAACTGATCTTTTGCTACGAAGAGAAGGAAGGACAACTGCTACAACTTTCCATATCTTTGTTTTCAGGGTAGTCTTCTCATTCACAACAGAGCCTTGTTGTTAATATCATGAAGATATTTTCCTAGCTCTCATTGGTTTGATTTTATGGCTATACTATTTGTGGCTATGTTTTTATAGTGTGCTGCTCTTTGATCTGAGCTTTTATTGAATTTCTGTGCTCCTGAATGTTATAATTTGTTGACCTGAGAACTTCTTCTTGCAGAGCATCTAATATGCAATAAAAATATTACAGTACTTTATTCAGCTAGCAAACACTATAGCATACCATAAGCGTTTTCTGGATGCAGTAAGCTTCCATAAAAATCAAATTTCTACTTTAACACATTTGTTAGAACAAAAACAAATAGACACATTTTTAAAAAGAGGGAAAGGCTTTATTGTGTTGAGTAGACCTGGGAGAATAAATTATAACCTCATTTCTCTTAATATTTCACAGATGGTGAACATCTTATAAATCAAGAGGTAACAGAATCTTCCACATGGCATTATCAAACAGGAACACAGCCAAAACAACAGTTTAAATAAAACCCTTGTCCAGTATAATAGCTATCTAACAGTTACATGCTAGATATAGGACAGGTATGTAAAAGAAAAGGGGACAACTGACGTTTCCTTGAGGACTACCCGTTTTAAGTTTCGTGCTGCTCTTCTATATCAATGTTATTATAGAAATAAAAATTAATGTTTAAAGGCAAGCTTCCTTTTTATCTCATTAGATTTCATTATTACTCCCTTGCTAATAGCATCAGTTTCAAGGATAAACTTCTATGCAAGATTGGAAATGAGCCAAATCGAAAGAGTGAACACACAAGAAGCACAACCCTGCTTGTATGAGAAGCAGATAGAAGGTAACTTGCCACAAGTTGTTAAGTGTACAGCAGACTGAATTGCAGAACAGAGCCGGCATTAGGCATATGGCTAATATATACCCAATTTCTTGACAGATATTCAGGTCCTTTTCATACCTCCACGGGCACATTCAAACTCATCTTATACAAGGACTTCCTGAGTGGTTCAACTACCCCAGAATTCTCATCTTTTCTTCTGCACTTTAGGTCTTTGCTTTATACACCTTCCCTCTGTTTGGGACCTGTTACCAGTTTTGTTGATCATCATTCCTATTTATCAGACTTAACTGGAATCTAAATTGCAAGTTTAAATCTTAAGTCCCTCCCCCCCCGCCCACCCTCAGGCTTAACTGGAAACCAAACTACAGTATTTAAGATGCTTGGTGCTTGCTCTTGTCACCTAGTGGTCACTGTGTAGCTGCGTTAGTATGTATTCTGAGAGGGTACAGCCCCCCCACTGAAACAGGATGGTGTCTTGAATGTACACCAGGCTAGCATTTAATTCACACAAAATGCACAAAAGATCAAAGCTGGCATTCTTTGTTTTCGTCAGCAGCATAACAGGACAGAAGTGGTTATGAATCTGAACAACAGTAGCGGTGGGATCTGAACCCAGTGTGTGAGTGCTGCAGGCATTTGTCCTCTACTTTCTTATTCCTTTGCCCCAGGCTTTGTGTGTGGAGGGGAACATGAAAGAGGCAACGATACCAACAACCAATCTGTTTCTAAGTTCAAACAAACCTTTAGTAAGTAGTGGTTACTGTCATTTGTTTAATCTTATAGGTAGCTGCAGGATCTACAAGGCTCCACAAATCTAAGGACAAACCATTCTTAAGGGACATGGTAGTTTACAAAGACTGCGGCCAGGAGGGATCACAACTTGTATTCTAAAGAGACGCCTTTTGTCATCTGTCTGGAGAGCACTGCAGTCATTTTTCTTTCCTTTCCCTTTACTTGATGCTAAAGCAAACCTTTGCATACAACTGGAATATATGTTATGATGAACTTAAAAGAATTGTTTTTATGAAGCTTAATATGCATACAAAGCTGTCTCAGTAGCTTCAACCAGTTTATTAAATAGTTTTCAAAGTGCCATTACAAAACACCCCTGTACAGCAATGTTTTGTTTTATTCTTCACTAGTGGTCATATGTCAAGGAACTGGAGTTCAATTATTTGAATTTCAGATTATGTCACCCATAGCTTATTGGATAGCTAGGAAATTACACATTTCTTCTTCAATTAAATAATTATTCATAACTAAAGTATTCACCTATCACTTATGCATGATATAAAACCAGTTTATACGCTACAGTTGTTTTACTATTTTACTATTAACTTCATGATGTTTCTGTAAATTGTGCAATGCAGATAATCAACCATATACAAGCTGAATTGTCTGACTTGAAAGTTGACAAACCTAATAATCCAGTACAACCAAAGCATGCTTAGTGGTGTACATTGACAGGTCTTAATTTAGAGGAAATCAGTAGTAAATAGTTTGTATGTTATAGACCTTGGATGTTTGTTCTTCCAGCTCTCACTCATCTGCCCTGCCCTGTCCATAACTTCAATGATACAAGAGCAATAATTGATACAGTAATGCAATGGCAGCAAAATTGAGCTAGAAAAAAAATCTGCCATAGCCACTTTTATTCTGTTTCCCTCAAAAGATCCTTCTCCCTAGGAAGTTTCAAATCAGCTCAAATTTTAGGGCAATGGGGTGTCCCTTCTAGCAACAGCAATATGATCTGTAGTGTTTGTGTATTGGATCCTTAGTCTGAAACGGAGAGGAGAGGGAAGCAGGCCTTCTTAGACTTCCCTAGATGATGGACTTCCCATTCCATCTCTCAAGTTGGAAGTCAAGTGGAAGCCACTGGAAGTCTACTGTCATTATCAGGCTTTGCCAAATTATGTGCCAAGTTCTGTCGAGTTCAATGATCTTGTGCATCTACTACCTTGTGTGACATAGAATAGGTAGAAAATCCATCTTCAGGAGCTATACCACGTACAGCCAATTGTCCTGCTTGGTATTTTGCACTCATGTTGATATAACAAACAACTCCTGCTGCTTCTGTTGCTGATCTAGCTCTTTTCTACCTATGTAGGGAGAGACTATTGCTCCCCGCCCCCCGTGTGATGCATTGGTTAAAATGGGGACTTGAATTCCTGAAGATTCTGTCCAATTCTAAACCATGAAACTCACTTGGTCATCTTGAGCAAGTCTTGGTCTCTTTGCTATTGTGAGCGTAAAGTACAGAGCAGTGTACAAGGAGTACCGTCACCTCAGTGGAAGCGATAATATTAATGTAATTGATATAATAAATTAAATTTTTAAAAAACTTATTTCCTGATGAGGAGAGAGGATGAATCATAGGATAAGAGGTTATGCTGAAGCATCCTCCAAGCTTCCAGCAGCTTGTTTCCATACATGCACAGTTCAGAAACAGGGACAAACAGTAGCTATGGGCTGAAAAAGAAAAGGAAAAGCTTTCTGGCCAGATTAGTGTCAGTTTATAAAAGACTTTTTCTCTTACACATCTCCCTGCATATAATATTGCTTGGGGAATGGGGTAAAAAGCAAGTTACCAGAAGAAAAATGGAAATCCTAAAACATAGGATGGAGTGAATATGAAGCATCCTGTTCCCAAGCCCTAAGACAGCCTACGTGGGAGGACGGGAATCTTCCAAGCCAGTGAAGTTATCACATTTTCCCTGCCTCCTGGCTAGGACTGAAATGGTTTTCCAGTTGTAACTCAGGTCTTGTAGGAAAAATACCAACTTTAAAACAAAAATTCAATTCAAGCAACACCTTCAAAATAAACCTGCACTCTTAGTTACACAGTTGAATACTAAAATCTGTCTGCTTTAAAACTGATTCAAATGTTCCACATTTACTTCGTAAGCACGAGGAAAAAAATCATGTAACTTTAAAAATATTGTCGAACAAAAGCACACTGTAACTCAGATTCACAATGTCCCTATTTGCAATAAACATCTAGAATATTCAACTATTATCAACAACTGTAATTATTTGAAATAGACTTTTATGAATGCAATACTGGAAGTCAGTCAATATATCATGGTTGCAGAACAGAAATGTGGGCTTGAATTTTTGAATCTGAAGTGTGAACACAACTCTCTTTTTGTCACAACAGATTCTATGATCCCCACTTTCTCATATGAATCCTAACAAAAATTATAGGATTTATGAAAATTGTTGTTTGCATAATTATACAAATGTAATTATGTTGTAAGCCTCCCAGAGACATCTCTAAGCACTATAGGGTGGCTTATAAGTTGAAACAACAACAACAGAAAATTCATAAAGTTTTCCATAAATAAATTTTAGGTGGTTTGAAAAGATTTCACAGTTGCAAGCAGTTTATCCAGACATGACAAGGTCAGCTATCCTTCAAAAGTCTTTTATCAAAAGGAAAACATTCTCTGCATTTGAAAATTTGATCAGAAACTTGCAAACATACATACCCTCCCAAGAAAAAAGACATTTTAAATGAGAAAAAAGCATTAATAAAAATAAAAACAAAATGATAAAGGGCATGAAATTCAAAGGAGAAAGATTAGGGGGGAAATGGTGTAAGAACTCTACGGCTTTATTGACCTGACATCGCTTTTGTATGCAAGAAAAAATAAAATAGGATAAAGAAAGGTGTCCACAGATTTCAATAAACAAAAGTACATTCATGAAAGTGACAAAGTCACAAAAATGCCCTATTAATTTTGCAGTCTTTGCTAGCTGAAATATGTCCTCATAGGTCCCAAATGAAGAAGTGGTGCTAGAGACCACACAGTGTTTGCTTCATTAAAATATACATTTATTTGCAAATGTATATTTTTTGAATTGGGTAGGCTTCTTTGACTTTTTTTAAAAAAATGAATTCTCAAATGTGATATTCACAACACATCTTGTTTCAAATACAAGAACAGGGTCTCTTTTACAAGGACTGAAGGCGTGAAATGGAGGGAAAAACTCACATCCATTTGATACCTGTGATTGTGCCAGTCAGTTCAAGGCATGATTAACAAGCCCTGTTGAAACCTGAAAGTTAGTTCTGTGTCAAAATATTGAATGAAGGAAGTCCCTGTGTATTCTCAGCATTTCATCCTGCATGTAATACCTTTCCTCTGGGCTGTTCTCAAGATGACTCACAGGATCTTGATATCCAGTGGCACAATCAGCCAGAAGTTGAAGAAACTGCTACTCTTCAACATATTTCAAATGTGACTGAATTTCTGTATTCCTCCATGGGCTCTTCCACCTCTTTGCAGGCACAAAAAACCTATTTAGTTTAATTCCAATCATCCAGGTCCTACTCCTTTTGCCAAAATCAAATTCAATTGCAAGCCATACACCTTATCACCCTCTTTCAGTTTCTCAGCAGTTTTGCAGGCATACTAGAAAAAAACTAGCATTTGATAGAAAAATTGTCTATGAAATAGTCCCATTTGGCTTGTCACCATGGATCATAATTCCACATGTGCATTTTCTGCTGAAAAGGAAGGGGAGAGAATGAAAATTATATGTAAACATATACAGAAGGCTCCTGTTGTTTAAAGAGCACATTATTTTTAGCCAAAAGCCTGAACAAAAAGGCAATCAATGCAATCTGATGTGGAAAGACAGACTACCATTCTTTCTAATGTTGTGTCCTACCTATAAGTCTCATCTTTGGTACGGTCATCACAACAACTGCTAGCTATGACTAATAAGATATAAAAGGTAAAGGTTCCCCTTGACAATTTTTGTCCAGTTGTGTTCGACTCTAGGGGGCGGTGCTCATCCCCATTTCCAAGCCATAAAGCCAGCATTTGTCTGAAGATAATCTTCTGTAGTCACATGGCCAGTGCGACTTAGACACAGAACGCTGTTACCTTCCAACTGAGGTGGTCCCTATTTATTTACTCGCATTTGCATGCTTTTGAGCCGTTAGGTGGGCGGGAGCTGGGACAAGCGACGGGAACTCCCTCCGTCATGCAGATTCGATCTTACAGCTAAAGATCTACAGCCCTTACAGCACAGAGGCTTCTGCGGTTTAACCTGCAGCGCCACCATGAATAAGATAAGCCACATAACAAACAAAAGGATTTTCTGTGAATAGTGACAAGCTAGATTCCCTCTAAGGCAGGGGTCCGTGGCCCGATGCTGGTCCATGACCTTGGCAGGACCAGGCCGTGGAGACAGATCTCCTGCCCCTCTGCACACACCCCACACTCCTACCCGTATGCACAGGTGCCCCGGCCACCCACGTGGGCACGCAAGCGTGTCCCCCACAAGCCCACCCCGCCTGCCAACACACCCACGTGCATGCGTGCCCCACCCACCCGCACATGTACAAGCATGTCCCCCCCGCCCACTCACGAGCATGGGGGTGCCCCGACCCTGCACACAGATATGGCTCCCCTACCAGTCTGTGGTTCAGAAAAGGTTGGGGACCACTGCTCTAAGGTGTGTGCGTGTGGGGCTGCACAGAGCTCCATCGGCACCATACAGTGGCACCGGGGTCAATGCCTGTCTACTTAGATGTTTCAGATTAAACCCTGCCTCCCTGCACGCAAACAGGCAAGGCTCCCATGGAATGAGGATGACAATTAAAGGGAACGTTACTGACAAGCATTTAAGCAAAGGAATAAATTCAAGCTCATCTGTGTACAGCTACGGGATACATGTAAGAGTACCGACAAGAAACAAAATATTGTAACATTCTCAAAATTTCCTTTTTACTAAGCTCATGTCAACTGGCTTGATAACTTAGTGAATTAGGTTCCTGGCTGCAGAGCCATAAGTTGGGAATTCAATTCCCCACTGGGCCTCCCAGGAGAAGAGCCAACCAATGTAATTTGGGGCAAGCTGCATAGTCCCAGAGTGCCCACAGAAATATGTAACTGTAAACCGCTTCTGAGTACTCTGTAGTACCCATGAAAGAACTGACTTGATGGCATGCAATTATTATTATTAAGATCATATATACATGGCTCAGGACAGTATAAGGTATTTTCTTCATGATGCCTTAAAATGGTGAGTTTTTGCTTCTCAAAAAATGGGAAGACAAGAAGTTTGGTGCCATTCTGCACTGTTGTAACATGCAAATCTGACCTCAACTGAGTAACTTAAAACAGATGGAGAGGAAACGATTTACCTGCTCGACTTTGCTGTTTTGTTTCATTTTTTGTAGAAGGTGTTCCTGATTCTTTTTCTTGGTGGAAACGACTGTATAGCTGCTTGATTTCTTGATCATAGTCCTTCCACTCTGGGACAATTCTCATAGCTGCCTGCAACTTGGGCTCTTTGGTCATTGGGTTATTGCACTGCAATACAAGATACAGATCAATGCCAAAAATGTGGTCTTTCTATATATAAAGAAAAAGGGGATGTACTGAACTATATATCTACATAACTCAAGACCCAAATATGATTCGCTATAAAAATATACTGCAATTCTATTTGAATTTCACCATTACACCAAAACTTTGTGAATTCAGAGTAACAAGCTCAATAAAAGTCCATAAATTAAGGAAACATGTCTAAAGTCACTGAATACTGTCAACATCTAAAGGCTTTCTCATACTATAAATATCTAACCACTACACCAAATTTAATGTCAAGATATTATGAATAGCTTGCCCATAGATTCACTTATAAGGGAAGAACATTATTTCTGCTGTTAAAAACTGATATACAGTATTCCATATTTCTGTGTTATATCTTTTACATTTTGTATACTATCACATGTAAATGCCCTATGATTATATGATTAAAAGCCCTATGATTATATATAATGACATGTAAAAGACACATGGTCTATAATTTTAAAGCATCTATTACTAGATAACAGTGTGGCAACATATGATTTTGGTTCCCACACCAATGTTTTGAGATCGAAGTGGTTCTGAGACCACAGAAACTGGCTATCCCTTTCCAAAGCTTTAGAGCCCTTTTGTGGAAAAGCATAAAAACAATGTAAAATAGCAAGACACATCCCACTGTTTCTCGTTTTAAATAAAAGTACTTAAACATTGACAAGTGGTTACATAAGCCCCAATCACAGTCAATACCCAAGGAACCTTACTAGATCAATAGTTTTTGCTTTCTTCTTTGAAGCATCATCACACCATGTTTCACACCAAAGCCACTCTTGTGGGAGCGATTTAATGGGCACCTGATGGATCATATTATTGGGCAAGTCCTATTGAAAAGAAACCAAAGTTATAGTTCTTTTAACTTATATCTTCCGTACCTTTCTGGAGGGCTTCTGAACAGAGTTACTATCAGATACACATTAGAAAGAGTCCACGCACAAGATATTCCTATCATCTAGTACTTTTTTAAAAAGTAAGCAACTAAACATAAACTGTATGTTTATAGCCAAGAATTTCTGCAATACAATGCAGCTGCTTCTAGTTACTCTGTGCTTTTCAGTGTGCAGTCCATTGCAATTAAAGCGTAATAAGAGTACCTGATCAAGGTTGGAGAGACTGTTGGGATCCTGGCTAAGCCCTTGGTATTGGCCTCTGAGCCGATCTCCAGCAGCTATCTTTCTGAATTTCTTCAGATCCACAACATAAAGGGCACTTAAGAAAACAGACAAAAGCTATGAGAATCACTGTCTCTGAATGCTATGTTAAGAGGTAAAACGTGAAACATACTAAGATCAGATTCTCAGAATAATTCTCTGAGAGCTGTTAAATGAAAAACCAGAAAAAGTAAATTACAAATCAAGGACAGAAAACTTCCTGTCTCTCCTATTTGCACTGGTTCCTTGTTATTGCCATCACGTTTTGTGATGTGAGTTTTTGTAACTAAAATATGTCTACATTATCAAAAGAAACAAAGAAATAATCTATCCTTATTAAAAGGATATCCTGCAACATGTAAATCCTACCATTCACACACAAAACTCAATGTATGCTCATCTCAACACAATTTCACTGGTTGGTCTGGGCAGCAGCAGGCACTTAGTGATGCAGTTTACAAATGTCTTTTTAGAAAAGCAACTAAGGTGGAACATGTCTGCTCACCTGATGTGGTATTTTCTTCCAGCCAAGTGACTCGCCCAGTATCCTGACTTCCAGAATCTGTAGCCATCCATCTCTCTACGGCTTTCACAGAATGGCGTATAACCATAAGGTGCTCCATCCAAATTGAAATCTCTGAGCTCTTTCAAATCTGTACGTACAATCTGAAGAACAGTAATTCACACTATCTTAAATTTTAGTTTTAAAGTTCTGAAGATTAGTTGGGAGAAGGACCCTCCTATCTTAGGACCATTGCTGTGTTATTAACAAAAGGCCCATCACAACTGAAGGAGGGATAGAAACAGAGAGCCTCAGGTCCCAACAATGCTCTTTACTGTATCCCCATCTCCTGACCAGAGATGACATTACTTCCTCTTCCACCCTATCCCCAAACTGCTTTTTCTTTCCTCCTTTTCTGCACCCCAAACATGGGCTTGGAAAGAAAAGGAGACGCAAATAGTCTGCCTTGTCTCTTTCAAACTCAAAGTTCCCTTCAGAGGAGGATGAACATGTGGTCCTGTTCTCTCCACCCACATCTCGCAATATGTTACTTCCACTAACTAAAGATGGCCTGAATCCATGGTATAAAACGGATGTTAATCAACTGATTTGGGTGACCCCATTTTGGTCTTTTGTTTCCTGTTAAGTTCTCTATAGAATATAGGAGGAAGGAAAGCACATTGAGACAGAGCAAGGAAGACAATAAATATCCAGTCCTGCCAGAGGCTGATACTGTCGACTTGACAAGAACCACTTTGTTGATAGACAACAGCCTTACACAATACAGTTACTGCTGGAGATGCAAATAAGTATTAAAAGAGAGATGGAATTGTTAACAAATTGCTAACAGCAAAGGCATTGATATTTGACATTATAATTTGCAAGGTGCATTTGGGTGCTTCTTCTCAGGCTGCAGTTTTCCTAAATAAGTTTAAGTCCTTTCCTGAAAGACAATAATTTATATAGGGAGGAGAGAGAAAGGACAGGATTGGCATCACTTAGAATATGCAATTCTTTTTACTAATATTTATCTGGTTGTTCTTCAAAACCACTAACCTGATCAGCATCTACAAACAGGAATTTGTCAACGGCAAGGGGGAAAAGCACATCCAGAAAAAGGATTTTATAACCCCAGATAATGCGCTGCTTCTCTGTTTGCTGGTGAAGCCACCTTGGCCATTTGTACTGGACTAGCTCATACTGGAAATTGTACTTTTCTGCCATATATGGGATGAACTCCTGAAACAAAACAATTGTTATTGGCCTGCTGAAGAGCTGCTAACACAAAGACATTTGCAACACTTGTTTTTAGAATGAAAACAACAATCACAACCTAAAAAAATTAAAAGAAACCCAGCATTTTACTGTGAAGACTTCGTATGAATCATAATGGACACAGGAGCTGAACAGCCAGAGACCACAAAATGTGGCTAAGTTTGGAAGCTAATCAGGCTTTGTTTTTTTACTTCCATCTCAGAGAAGCATAGTTTGAGCTTCCCCTTCCGAAAAAAGGGTTAATAAATGAAATACAGTAAAAGAAAAATAAAAGTAGGTCTATCCCATTTTTATTGTCAAAACAGGAGGTTTAACATAAAAGGAATATCAGGGTGCTTTTTGTGAGTGTTAGAAGCAATCCACTTCATTGAACATATATGCCCTGTCTCAGAATAAGATATAACCTGGTGCTGTTCTGAAAGATACATTCTCTTTTTCCCTGTACTGCCACAGGTATTTTTTTTAAAGTGCATTATTTCTCCAGTGGAGTACATTAGAAGCTTTCCTGCTAGTCATCAGAATTGTACTTATGGCAAGCAATACTTGAATTCCAGATTAATATGAATATAATCCTCACCTTCTACCTTCATCTCTCTAATTTATCTAATTTGAAGTATGCTAATGATGTGAACCCTTGGGAGCTAAGATTTTTATTGTTACAGCAACATGCGTGAAACATTTTCTTTAATAAGAAATAAGGAATCTGGTACTGAAGGCGGAATATGTCATTTTTATTAACTGCTATAAACCACTCTGGGACTCTTTTGGCAGCAGAAGGGAGTACAAACATTTTGTATTATTTGTTAAAAAGAGGAAGCATTCTTTCTCTAGCTTGGTTAATGCCTGCAACACTATCAGCTCACGATACATCCCACATGCATTTATGCTCATCATTCTGCCTTTATGTCTTCTTCAAACAAAATACCAAGTTTTTTCTTAAAACAAACCTTAAATGAAGGTGACAAATAGTTCTTCAGGAACCAAAACTTCACTGGCGTCTGTGTGTGCTTCAGCACTGATAGCATCATTATGCTGTTGAGGCCAATAAAAATGAAACAGACATGAAGAATATGAAATATCTTAAATGGCCAGCAAAAATCAGCAACCCCCAAATAAACAACGGCATGCTCTCAAATGTCACTCCTTCACATAGTTTGTACTTTGATATACACTACATACTTCTTCAACTACTTAACAAGCACAGAAGATAAACACAGGAATTCCTCACTAACAGTGCAGCAATGTGGCAGATGGATTTTGCAATCTGAGAAATAATGAAGCAGGTAGAAAAAATGACCAAGCAAGTCCCCTTTTGTTGAAAAATTCAGAAGCCCAACCCCCCAAATTCACACTGATTGTTAGAACGCTTCCTGAGAAGATTAAGCATGGTAAAGTTACTTTCCTACTTCCCATTATCGCTAGGCAGAATGAGTATTTTAATTTTAAAAATACATATTTTCAATGTCTCAGATGAAAATCAATGTTTTTCTGACTGCTTCTCATTGCTCCCTATCTAAAAAATGTTAAGTGCAAAAGTTCTGTTATTCTACTTTATTTGCAAGACAGAGAGAACTACATCTCCTCTACATAGTAACAAGAATATTTTCTATATGAGGACATTACTCTTTCCTCATATAGTGGCTTCAATTGCAGTGGAAGCCATTATAAGCATATGTCATTCTGAAGTTCTCAGGAACAGACCTTCTGCAGAGAAATGTAATCAATGAAGACATACAGACTTTCTCAATTTCTGTGGTAAAGCAAGAACAATCCTCCCCCCCGAACTTGAGTTACACACAATTTATTCTAGACTAACCGGAGAAATCTCTCATAGAGATGACCTGATGCCACAGAAAATATATTGATCACATCATCCTTGTCCTGTTTCACCTCTTCTTTCTTCTGTCCACCCGTAAAACCCCTGAAAACAAAGAAAATGCTTATATATAAAATATGCAATTCTTCATAGACCAGCCAATTTTCTGCTTTCACTTTGTGACTTTTATCACTTGGGATATTGCTGGCATTCTCTGAACTTAGCTGCATTATAAACTGATTCCTAGTACAAAAATTCTTCCTCAACCTAGAAGATGCTGCGACATGATACATGAAAAACAGTATCCAAAATTCCAAGAAGATTGGTGCTTTTGGGATGTAAAACTGTTCAATCACAGTCCATAACTTCAGAACTCTTGTCTATAATAGCTTACACTATCAGGCTGCCATGAAAAACAATGAGCAGATGCACAGGGGGGAGGGAGACTAACATTGCCATTTTTCTGGAACATAGTTACACTATCAGGCTGCCATGAAAAACAATAAGCAGATGCACAAAATATTGCCATTTTTCTGGAACATATCCAAATGTATTTCAGTTGCAAAGCCAAGACCAGGGATTAAGGATATAGACACTTTAAACTACCAATGTACTGAATGGCCAAAATCCTGTTGTACAAATTATGCCTGTGGAAGGATGGTGACATCACCAGCAGTGGTAATTTTTTTTTATAAATAAGTCTACCTCCTGCTAACCCATGAATCTACGTCATGAGTAGTCCATTTCATTGCATGGGAGTTGTAGGATAGGACAAAATCCTCAATTATCTAAATGCTCTCCTACTGATAGGGTTATCATCCCTCTATAACTTAGGCAACAGGATTTCAGCCTATAAATTTCACACAGCAATGACAACTAAAGTATCAAAGAATCTTTCATGAGTTTTGCCAGGCAAAAAGCAAAACATCATGCATACCATTTAAAAGATTCCCAAAATCCAGACTCGTTTTCACTTGTTCCGTCACTTAATAAATCTTCATTTATCATATCTAATTTCTTCTGAACCTATGAATGGAAAACAAAGAATTAAGTTGATGTTTCCTATGAAGAGTTCTGAATAGTTACTGAACACTACATGATACATTCTGTTATTACAGTAAGAATTATACTTTTCCATATATTTAACTAGACTGAAGCCAACATAGACTCTTGAGGGGAAAAGAGGTTAGCTAAGAAAATTCAACATAAAATACAAGCTAGCTTTAAAAGTCACTTCCACAACATGTCACCCCACCAGATGTGCTACATTATTAGCTGCCTTCACTCCTGACTGACATAGAGGGAAACAGATTTATATGTTTGCATTTTAATATACATTTTCTAAATACATTCTACACAAAAGCTTATTAAATGTTCTATGGAATGTAGTTTTATACATATACGGCCAATCACCTGTTGCCTCCTCCCCAGCCTTTCCTGCTCATATTGCTTGATAAGAAGGATTTGCTTTTCTCAATTCCTTTCCCTGTCAGAATCCCTTTTGTGAATGAACAGTTGACTGATATAACTGCAAGTATGTAAAGGCACAGAAAGGTTGATACCAAACATCATCCCCACTTTTTAAGGGGCTGGTAAGACTCAACCATTTTAAAAATGTTTTAGTGCCTTTAGATCTAGCACTGTTCTAATTTACCAAAGACTTGATGTGTTCCAATGTCTTTAATCTCTGCTGTTGTTTTTATCTTGATTTTACATGTCACTGTTTCTACCCACTGTTTCATTGTTTGTATTTTATATCTTTAAATGTGCTCTATATTGCCCTCAAATCTCTAATATTTGGTTAGTCTAAAAGTTATATACATACATGGTAAATAGATACATAGGAGTAGGTTGTATCCAAATTTAGGTACAGTACATGCAAAAAGGCTGGGAGAAGCACATGTCCAGTGCCCTGGCAGGGCTACAAAGAGAATCTGGAGAGCTTGGTTGAAAGGGGCAGGCTGTGCTCTCGGGGGGAAAGAAGTGGACTCTCCCCAAACTGGATGACGTTCCTTCAAAGACTGCAACTTTTTGAATGAGAGAAGGGAGCCCCTGGATTCAGTTCATTCTAAATTAATTCTTGTTGAAAATGCTACTTTACTGTATCCATTTAAAACTCACCTTCACTTTAATAATTTTGCTCTTGAAGTTACTGATAACAACAACAACATCACTGGCATCTGGAGGAGAATCTGTACCATCATGGCTAAAATTAAATAAATTAAGATGTTTAGCACAATAATCACTGTAATCAACACAATTAAAAACACCCCAGATTACTTTAAAAAGAAGCAGCATAATAAACCAAAGCACCAATGTCAAGTAAATTTGCTACATGTTTCTGAATTGAGTTTGACTGAAACAAAAAGCAAAATTTAAAGTTTACATTATCCTACCTGTAAATTCTGTAGATATCATCAGACCTTCCTTTTCTCAGTCTCAGAATCCAAGCACCAGGGTTGGCTTTTAACTGGAAATAGCCCTGTAAAGAAGGGGGAAAATGACAGACATTCTAGAGTGACCAGTGCTACCTGCTTATTATTAACCATGACAGTAAGATATTAGAGCGAGATGAAATTCAACATTTAAGTCTTATTTTATACAATATTCATGTAAGAAATGTAACATTCTCAAAAAATGCAATGTATGTCAAGCTACATCTAGCAATGATTACCAGTTTCATTTAGGTTTAATTGGGTATCCACTACGTTTTGCACTCAATGTGAAAAGAACTAGAATTGTGACTATGTACACCTTCTGGTGCTACTAATGTAATTTTTTTGATACTTTTTACTGAACAGTTGCTTTGTTTATGCATTAATAATGGTGAGCTTATTCAACTGTTGAAAAAGATCTTAACATTTAGTGCTTCTAGAAACAAGAATGCACATTAGGAATGCAGATTAACTGTTTGACTCATCTCAGCTTCTGATTTGTTTCCAGTTTGTGATGAGGTAGCAGAAGCTGCAGTGGAATAAAATCAACAAAATTCTTAGTTAAAGGCAAAGGCCATGGAATGGTTTTGATATTATCCTAGGTCAAATAAACATGTAAAACAACAACAACCCTGTAGTAGGTTGGATGAAGATAGAATTTAAAGTGTAGTCAAAGGGGTCAATTCAGCTGGTCTCTCAGGTAATTAATTAAGTATCTGCAACTGTACATCAAGTGTTTTTCTATTTCACTTCATTGCAAGACAGCCAGTTACTTACTAGGTTGGCCATAACAATGGTATCGACAACAACAGGGTTAGTTGATGTTCCTAGTGTGAACTGAAGACCTCGAGGTGGCTGCCCTGTAGTGATATCATAGCAGTGCCCTTCTAAAAGAAGATGTTCCAGTTCATATTCAGCTGCCACTACACTCTCTACCTGTGAAAAGAAGCAACCACTGTTTCAGCATTCTTAAAGTTCCAAAGAATGATTATCTTATGAGAAATTGAATTTTAGAACAAAATGAAATCTGAGAAATTAGGTAGACAGTTCCATAACTAAATATCCTAGTCATGCTAGACAGAGGCAGCAGGACAGTTTCTACTTTGGTTATTTTAATGATATTTTATCCATTCAACTATCCATCCATCCATGATCCTATATTCTCAATATTTCACAGTGGAGAAAGTAGCCACAAAGATTAAAACATTTGATAAAAGATGAAAGAACATAAAGGTGGGTAAAACTTGTTTTAAATCAGAACAAACAAACAAACAAGCCCATTATCAGATTTTTCATATGTAATAATTATTTCATGGAAAAGAATTTAGTCTACCATATTTTTCTGTGTATAAAATGACACTTTTTCCTTAAAGAATTTGAGAAAAAATTGAGGGTCCCTTTATACACAAAAGGCAGCTCTTTACCACTGCCTTTTGCGAAGGCGCAGGGCTTAACAAAATGGAAGGGGAGGCGTTGCTCCCATCCTTTTTGTTAAGCTCGTGCCTTCTCAAAAGGCAAGGAAAAGCGGCAGTCACTTATGTTGGACACTGTGCTATTAGCATACCATTTGCCTCTGAAAACTGATTTCAGAATTACAAGAGATGCTGCAAATGCTGTCTTTGCCAGATTTTTTTTGCAGTAGAATTAGTACAAGCATTGTCAACTCAAGCACTGAACAGTAAAGCCGAAACATTTCAGCTGTTGCCATAATTACAGTGGCAGGCTTGCCCACAATACATCAGGTCACGATTTAAAAAACAAAAAAACCCTTGCATGAGCTCAATTAGATTTTGGATGTGTATGTGGCTTATTGCCATGAAGTATATCTGAATGTGATATCATATCATCTTCTACTCTAACAGTGATAATCATAAACGTATTCGTAGGAACAAGTTGTATGGTATAATAGAAAGAATGTGAGGTTTCACAACCTTTGGGTAAATAGTAATGTTTATTAAATACCTTTGAGGAACTCTAGGCTTCTCAGTTTAATTTACCTAACAGGATTACTATAAAGAGAAAGAGAATATACTGCAGTCCACTCAAAATGAATCTTATTAGCCTGCTCACAGGCAGCTTCTCTTATGACCAATACGGAATTCATAGTGTTCCTGCATATGGAAATCTCAGTCTAAAATATTTCTGGGAATTAACTGGAGGAAGGATTTGTTTTTTCTTAAGAAAGTTTTAATATATATTCACTTATTAATTTGGAAAGCTGGACAGTGAAAGGTCTTTGATGCAACAGATCAAAGACAAAACAGTTTAAAAATAAATTAAACTTCTCTTAATATGAGGGGGGAAAACATATGCGAAAGATAGCACTCAAAGTCAGTGTGAATTGTCCACTTCAGTTGCTTTCAGTTCCTTTAGTCATAAGAAAAAATACCCTCCCTTGGAATAAAAAAATATATATTTGACACTGGGGGTAACAGATTGTGTCGCTGAGCAGCAAGCCCTCGAAACATACTCACACCAATAAATAATTATTTAAATATGCTCTTAAGAGTTCTAAGTTAATTAAAAATTCCTACTGCAAATATTAAATCTTGACAAGTCTGTTTTGCAAAATTTAGACACAAGCATTAACTGTAACTTACCTCTTCTAAATAAATATTGTCAAGATCATACGATGTTCTTACAGCTTCCACCATCCAGCTCTCAGGAGTGTTCAGATTTAGAGTAAACAAGGGAGACTGAGGCATATCCAGGAATTTTGCTACTGGGCCAGGAACTAGAGCTTTGTCTGAGGTAAATGTGATCTCTGGTTCCAAAACATAGCGATAAAAACTAAAATTTTAAAACAATAGATGTCAGAATATTTTGTGTTTAAATCCTGCCATTGCTACAGTTAATTTTCTTTAGTTTATAGGTATAAACATAACAGCCTCCCAACCCTTACTATTATATATTAAAAAATACTATTTGCATCCCCATGAAAAGCCATCTGGATTTCAATATTTCAAGGAATCCTACACCTCTTTTTTCTCTTATCAGAACTCTAGACAAATATTTTAGAATATTAAGTGACTGTCATACTACTCCTTTGTCTCCTCACCTTCCAAGCAGTGTTGGAAAAAGAACAAGTTATAATCTAGAGAAACGTATTGTTGTTATCAGTGAGATGTACCAGAAGAACAGAAAGAAGACAACAAATGAAGGAGGAACTATACAACTTTCTGCTATTTTCAAATAAGGTCACAACCAAAATGTAAAAACTTTCAAACCACATAAAGTTTTCCCCTCAAGACACAGCACATGCATTCAACATATTTAAGATATGACAGATCGTTGAGCAGAAAATATTTTAAGTAATATCTCAATTTTATTTCATATCTTAGGAGTGGGTACTAAACACTATGAGAATGAAATTTGTTTCTTTGTTATCACAGCCATATAGGCTAGAATAAAAAACTAACCGTCTTGGAGCTGGGGTAATAAAAAGTATAGCTCCTTGAATCTCTTATTACCTTTAAGTATACTGTAGAAGCTACCAAAATACATTTATTTCAATGCATGCATCATGATGGTTGAAATTCAAAGGACTGTGTATGATCTGTCACATGCACCTCAAGCTTTTCACTATCTCATACCCACTGATAGCCTCCTATCTCTTGAAATTTCATCTTGAAGAAAAAATTGCTCTCCCATGCAAGGCTCAACTGTCAGCTGATTTATTTTTATAATTTCTGCCAGTCTTCTTCTAAGTTAGGTAAATACAGGCTTTTATCACAGCAGTAAATGTGATGCTAAAATGATTGATTAAGCATAAGATAAGATAATAATCCTTCCAACATGGTTGCCATGTGGTAGCATAAAAGAAGCCTAATGCCATTTTCCTGAAACCCAAGCAGCTCTGCCCACACAGAGATGCAGCCAACAGCTTCTGACAAAAAGATCAAAATACATGCTTATAACAATCAAGAAAGTATTAATTTTCTATCCTAATACACAGTGTAAGGCTCATTATTCATCACCTTTTCAAAGGCATCTCAGAGAGCTTCGACTGACAGTTCATAAAAACTCGGAGGTTCATGTTGATTAGTTTGGTCAATACCTTTGAAAAAAGGGAAAACACATATAAATCAAATTCACAGTTACGTGTCATTTTTAATATCATTATTATTTATAATTGCCTGCTTTTCTTCCAAATGACCTCTTTGTTACTGGCTCCCTAAAGCTGAAAAGCTTCCATCACTCATTCTGGAGCAGCCATACTAAGGTTATTTATATACAATCTGGGATAAAGGCTATAATATTCCCTAATAAAATTAGCTATGCAAATTAACTATCCAAACAGACGAAAGCAAGAGTGGAAACCTTGCTACATTATGAGCTTATTAAGTAGATTAAACTTAAATACATTCTTACATATTTTAGCTTCCTGTGTATTAAAACACCATGAGTTTAAAACTTGAATCAATTTAAATTTCAGTATTAAGCTTAATAAAAAAGACACAATGTTTTCCAACGTTATTACTGCAAGCTAATGTACGTATCATTGTGACATCTGGTATCTCTGGAAAGAATTCCACTCAAAAATGTCAGATTTTTCAACTATTAAATATGAGCTCCTTTTTGATACATAACTTGTGGGATTATTTTGACAACATTGAGGCTTCATGCTCAGCCAATAAATCTATTAAGAGAGGGACCAAAGGAAAACCAACATTTTTAGCTACAGAATGCTCCAATCAGTCATCCCTCCACTACCAATTACTTCAAATCATTAATATGTTCACACCATAAGAAGGGGAGCCAGTCGTTGTGCATCTCTGGTGGTAGGGTCAACAATTGCCACAACATCATAATATGTTTCTCCCTCTTTTGGTCTCAACTTGATTGCACTGAAAAAGTAAAGGGAAAAAAACACAGCTACATGCATGCTAAATATTTTCCCCTTTAGCCCGTTGTATCAGGTTTAAAGAGCTCATCACTGCCTTCTTTAAACAAAAATTACATTGTGAACACATAGAGAAATGTAATCTACCCCAAGTAATTTCTTAGCACCGTATAATGCTTAAAAGTAAAGAAACCCAAGTTAATATCAAGATATTTTACGACCATTTGTAATATATTACAAAGTAAATTTAATTTTACATAAATAAAATAATTTTACATACAATACATACATACAATAAATCTAATATAGAATCAGTACTATTCATTTTTTTTACCTGTGTCTGTCTTCAAAAAAATGGTATTCAATTCTTGCCTCTCCCTTTGGCTGAGCAGACAGAAGAGCATCCACCTTCATTACAAGATCACTTGCACTAGGTATGAGAGAAGAAACATCAAATTCAAATATTTTCTTCCAATGCTATGATGGCTCATCATATATATATATATATATAAGGTTCAGCACTATATATATATATATAAAAATCACAAAAACTAAGAATACATCAGGTGTTTCTGCCAAAAATAACTGCTTCTGCCAACTTCTTTCCCCAGCCTTGCAAAGCTGTCCTGATTTTCAAGAGTGTCTCAGCAGGAGGGATATTGCGGGCTGAAGCCAGCAAGTGTCTGCTCTGCAAGCAAACATCTGTTCTCAGGGCCCAAGCCATTATGAGGAGTATTCTTATGTAACTTCCCAAGTGGGGCACAGCAAACTCATCTGTCATATTTTTTCTGCTTCTAACAGTCTGGAAGAATATCTAATGAAAACAAAAGAACAAAGAGATCTTATTTCCTAACACTTTATTCTTTGCTCATTTTACTCACAGATCTTCCTCCACTCCTAGTTGCTGAATATGGGACTTTATTTTCTGTCCGGAAGTCTTTAAAATAATATTCTCTAGCAAATGGAAGTCATCTTGATTAAAAAGCTCATCGTTTTCCAGTGGACCAATAATCTAAAGAAAAGAAAACAAAACTGAAGAATCAGGACTATAAAATATACAAGATCAGGGAATACAATTCCAAAAGTATCTGCGCTAGACATGCCCTGGGACCTGAGTACCTCAATCTGCATTATCGTTAAGAATTTGACAGAGAGATTAACAATGATACATAGAACTTTAGAAAACTACACTGTCAGTACTTTTGCTAGCAAAAGTTAATAACAGCCTTTTACTATATGGGCCAATCCAGTAACTGAGGACAGCATTTGAGATCCTGCTTAGTTTCGTCTTGAGATGTGAGACGAGGTGATCACTGCATCAAGGCCCTAGGATGCTTTCCTGTCAGCAGCCCATTCAGCTTCTTCAGTGCTGAACTTACAATGCCTACAAGAGACCTAAGTTTTTCCACTGAAGCATTAGGACCCATGAAAACTGCACATGATTTTGTTTTTAGTGTCTGCAGAATCAGTTTTTTGTGTCTGCAGAATCAATCTATTGAGTGGATGTCACAACTGAAGTGTTTTTGTTGATGCAGCTTGCTGTCTTTATTACAACTTGGGACATTTTTCAAGTGGCTTCTATGTTGTCTTTTGAACCTCACAAGGGCCATCATCATGGTGTACAAAAAAACAAAGCAACATTTATAGATACTTTTGATGTATACAGAACAAAACATTTCTCTGGCAGTCAGTTTAAAAACGACTGATTTCCAAAGCTAGCAGAACAAATTGCTATCTTTTGTAATCATCATCTATCATCTATCTTTTGTAATCCTCTATCTTTTGTAATCATCATCCTCATCCTAGAACTGCAGAGCTGGAAGGGATCATTGAGTCCCGCCCTTGCCAAAGAGGAACAGTGAGGAATGAAACTCCCAACCTCTGGCTCCACACCCAGATATCTGAACCACTGAGCTATCCAAGTTGCATAGCTGTCTATAAAATCTCACTACTAAAATGCACCTTGTAATTTAGCTGTTCAATTAATGCATCACAACAAGATATAACAGCATAGGAACACCAAATAACTCTTCTTCTTCGTCGTCGTCTTCTTCTTCGCTGGCAAATCACCTCAAATGTAGGATGATCCTACGAATGAGTGATCTCCATGATGCCCTGTCATTAACAACTCTGCTCAGCTCTGGCAAACTCCAGGCCGTGGCTTCTTTTATGTAATCAATCTATCTTATATTTGGTCTTCTTCTTTTTCTGCCTTTAATTTTTCCCAGTGAATCTGTTCTTCTCACAATATGCCCAAAGTATGACAGCCTCAGTTTCATTACTTTTGCTTCTAAAGAGTGTTCAGGATTAATTTGATTTAGGACCCACTTGCTCATCTTTCTGGTAGGACAGAGTATCTGCAAAGCTCTCATCCAGCATCATATTTCAAATAACTCAATTTTTCTACTGTCTGCTTTCTTCATTATCCAGCATTCAAATCCATACATAATAATGGTGAATACAATCGTGTAGATGATATTGCTCTCCAGTGACATATCATTGCAATTTTTTCTAGTACTTTCATAGCTGCCTGTCACAGGTCTTAGCAATTTTCTGGTTTCTTGGATACACAGCTTCCATTTGGATTGCTGTTTGATGTAAGATAAACAAAATCTTAAAATCACTTCAATTTTTTCACTGTCAATTTTGAAGTTAAGTAGTTCTAAAGCCTTTTTTTTGTCTTCTTAACATTGACCTTCAGGCCTGCTTTTACTTTTTTTCTTTCTTTCTTTCACTGCTTTCTGGCAATAATATGGGGCCACCTGCACATTGCAAGTTATTGGTAATCCGATACTAGAAACTTGAATTCTTTCTCTCATATTTAAAATCAGTTTGCTTACCCTTCCATTACTGATGACTGCTCTTTGTCCTTTCTTCAGTTTAAGAACATCCCTGGAGTACACAGCATGGGAAAGGATAAAATCTGCCTTGGAAGATTCGAAGGCAGCTTTAAATGCAGCAATATCCATACCCTGATAAGGGGGAAATTATGTTCAGTAAATATTAGGACAAATGATAATGTACCTCCACAAAATATTCTTATTTCAAAGTAGCCTCCCCAAATCTATGTATTTATTTTATTCATTTATATGCCACCTTTCTCCCAATGGAGGGACTCAAAATGGCTCACAACTGATTGAAACAATATAATAAAAACAATTAAATCTATAATGGGAGATAACACTAAAAACAATTAAACAGATAACAATAGTAAAAACTGCCATATAAAAACATATGAATGCATATATACCTTAGCTCAGTAGAAATGTATATAGATATACACACAGCATCCCATAGTAACATTTACTTGTCCAAAACAATTAAAAGCCTTCCTAACAATTAAAATATTTGCTTTCCTGTAGAAGGACAATCTGGCTTCCTGTGGGAGGGCATTTCACAGCACGGGGCAGATACTGAAAAGGTCCTGTACTCGTGTCACCATATGAGTCTTTGAGGGTCTCTCTAGAAGATCTTAAAAGCTAGGGAGAGGCCTATTAGGAGATATGGTTCTTCAGATAGTCTGGACTCAAGCTGTATAGGGCTCTGTAGGTCATGACTCTGCTGTCATCACCCCATGAAATAGGCTTTCTACTAGTCTGGTCCATGTTCAGTCAGATCTCCTCAGAGTTTTTGACCATCATTGCTCTAGTCTATCCTACTGATTTCATCATCCCCAGCCCTGTAGTAAATGAAGGAGCTCCCTAGTAAATCAAAGGGAAGTATGTCCAGGACACTGGCCTTCTCCCCTTTCCACAAAGGCTTCAACCGAATCTCCTACTAAAGTGATAGGAAACTCCCAAAGAACCATCAGGAAACCATTAAGATCTTTAAGCCTGCTAGGGGAACCCTCTTAATTGGCTTCCCACCCCTGTAAAGGTTTAGCACTCCTGTAAGTCTGAACTCCAATAGGTAGACATCTGCCCATGAGAACATAAATCTGGTGCCTGTTGGACTGAACTGCCAGAATCCTTCAGCAATCATGTCTGCAAGGTTCAGGGAGTTCCAGTCAAATGCATCCAGAGGATGCTAGATAAACGCTTCAGAAAAAAGCTGATTTTTAAAAAAGGCAAACAGAGAGTGTTGCTCTTAACGCCATTTTACTTGTCTACCCGACAGAAAAGCCAGCTTGTACACTTACTCCAACAGCAAATTCTGTAATATCAGCTCCAGCTTCCAGCATCTTTGCATTCTCTTCTTTAGTCAGCTTTGTGATAAAATTTTTGGCATTGTTCGATGTTTGTGTCTGCAAGGCTGCCCATATGGCCCTGGCAATGAATGTATTTTCACTGGCTGGGTCTTTGCTGGGGTTGTTAATCATGCCAATGCGGACATAATTACTGGATTTCTGCAAAACAATGAAATCTGAGTTTAAAATTGTCATTTCTATACAGCTTTGAAATCTAGCAGATGATTAGTACTATAATAATTATGAACTTATCAAATATTGACATCAATACATCATCTGTTCCAATTTTATTACAGGAAAAACTTTAGCATGTCTTATACACACTAGTGGTGCCTCAACTTACAAACTTAATTAGTTTCGGAATTCCAGTCATAACTTGTTATGGTCGCAAGTCGAAGCACCATTTCCCATAGGAATGCATGGAAATGCAATTAATCTGTTCCGGCCGAGGAAAAAAATCACCAAAAAACTCCCACAAAACACTGCAAGACCCATCAGAAATGCGATTAATCCATTCCGGCCGAAAGAAAAACAAAACAAAACAGAAAAGCAAACAAACACTGCAAGACCCAACGGAAACACGATTGATCAGTTCTGGCGGAAGGGGAAAAAAATCTGAAAAGCAAACAAACTCTGCAAGACTCATTGGAAACAAACTGATCTGTTCCAGCCGAAGGGGAAAAAACCTGAAAGGCAAACAAACCCTGCAAGACCCATTGGAAATGCAAAAAAAAGTGCAAGACCCATCAGAAATGCAAACAAAAAAACCCAAAAAGCAAACAGAGAATGCAAGACCCATCGGAAATGCATCAAAACCAAACTAAAAAGCAAACAGAGAGTACAGGACCCATCGGAAATGCAAAAAAAAGAAAACTAAAAAGCAAACAGAGAGTGCAAGACCATCGGAAATGGGGGGGAGCCACACACACAGACAAAAAAACCCAACCCTGCAAGACCCATCACAGCACAGAAACATAATCCTACCACCCAGCCCAAAACCATGCTGCAAAACCCACCCAGAACAGTTTTTAAAAAGGAGAAAGCAGTTGAAAGCCTTCTCCAATTGCACACTAACTGCTGGGGCGAAAGAGCTACAAAGAAGCAGCCTCTTCACCACCAACGGTTAGCAATTTCAATTCCCCGCCTTTTTTCCCTGCCTTTTTCTGTTCGTAACTCAAAGCTCCACTCGCAAGTCAAAGCAAAATTTTACAGGCGGAGCTGGTTGCAATTCAAAATGGTTGTATCCTGGGACATTCGTAAGTTGAGGCACCACTGTACCAAGAAAGAACACTGCTTTGGAAATTTATTCTTTAGAAGGCTCTACCATTTTAGCACAAACTATTTACAATCTTTATTTTAAAAAATAATGACAGGAGATATTCATTTAATTGCTCCCATCTTTCAGGTTAAAAATACATGCACAATTAAAATATAGACTTAAATCAACCAACAAGAATAGATTCTGGCTGACAGCATTCTTGAGGCAGATGTTTGTTAAAGGCCTGAATATTAATGAAGCTGCTTGTCTATGGAAAGCAGACAAAGCAAACATTTATCATGTCATTCTAAAACAGCTTAATGAAACCATACCTTGCCATTTCCCAGACATATTATAAAACTGGAATAAACTTTACGCAAGGTTCTTAAACACTTTCATACTGACCACAGTATAGAGCTAAAAATGTTTATTTTTTTATTACTTTTAATTTTATTTTTTCAATTTCCTTCCTGCTACATTGTAAACTGTTTCTGTGCCATCAGGTTTCTTACACTGTGAGTGTTGTTAATGTGCCTGGATTTTATTTGTTAAACCGCCCAGAATAATGTTTTTTCACTAACAGGGTGGCACATAAAATAAACAAATATGCACATCTACAGAACTTACTCCCATATGTGCATGTACAGGATTTTACCCTATATTAGGTTATGATAAGCTTGGTGCAAAAAGATCTCAGGATATAGCATGACATGCTGGCATGAATACAGTGGCTACTCTTACCTTAAAAATATAGAATGCATTATTCATCTCTATTCCTAAATATCACAGAATACTGTACAAACAAGTGATTGAACTTAGTTTTCTATGTATGCTAACATTGCTGTCTTACTTCTCCTTCCTACCTGGTGTCTGATGGCATCATATAACAGCTGTCTTCCAGATGGTTTGTCAAAATCTCCAACAATCCAAAATGTTACCGGTCTAATGAAAGAATCATCTGTCCAAGAAAAAAATTATGCATTTATTTAAGGGAAAAAACGGATCATATTAAATCTCATCACAGTGTGTGCTTCCATATCATGCTGAAGACATGCAGTATTGAGAGAAGTTATTTAAAACATAAACAGATATTCTATTGAAATATAACAGATATTCTAATTATATTAGGATTTGTCAGGCTATATGTTAAAAAAATAGTATTTGTTAAATTAGTTTAGTTATCAGAGAACACAAAATACCACACATGCATAATTCTGTTTCTAATCTGCGTTTATTAATTATTCAAGAAATGCTTTTTTGGGGAAAATCAGAGAACCTGTAAGCAACTTTGTTCTATTGGAGGAAAAATCAGCTTTTTGATACCAGTACCTGGAAATATTCTGTAGCCATAAATGCTTTTTAAAAATAATCCTCATATAAGTTTCTCATTCCCTACAGATTTTGAGGGCAATAAACAAGGGACCAAAATAGTCCTTAATTAAAGCTTATTACTATGAAGCAGAAAAAAAGCAAGCAAACTCATTACCATAAATTTCCTTGGAGGACATTCCTGACAGAAGTAAAATAGGAAAGAGTGCGAAAAGATAGTTAGTTCACAAACCCAAACCCAAAACTATCCTAGAGCCATAATAAGATATGTAGTACCCTTCCAACTAAACAATAAGACTATAAAGAATTAAGATTAAATTCACTTCCAGCAATATAAAAACTAGCAACTAAGATCAACACTTTTTACATTTTTATAAAGTCTCTTTATAAAGATGGAAATTAAGGACATTTGTCCCCTCATTTAGAAACTTCATTGACACATCTGTCCAGCTCCAATACCTCACTTAAATCTCCACATATTTCCTTTTATCTGTGTCACTTGATCTCTAACATTCTGCTGCAGTTAGTATCTCTTTGATCCAGTCCAGTGTCCCAAAATATGGAAAACTCTGAATCTTCATAGATCACATTGTTTACACCTGCCCTATTAATAATCTCATGCCTATTACTTGTTTCTTAAATGTTATATACCAGTGCCTGCCAAGTTGCCCCATCAAGAAAATTTTGGAGTCGTTTAGGGCAGATACTCTCAAGGAATGGAAAATCAAAACTGACACATTATCACAATTTATTTCCCAGTAAAGAATATTCTTCAGTGTGACCAAAAGAACTGCCACAAGAAGACTAGGTCTGTACTACACAAACTTATCCAATGGAATCTGGAGTTGAGCAGCTACAATTTTCCTGTGTCACCTTGAACATGGTTCGTAACACCTCAAAATTCAAGGGATACTTTTCAAGGAGTAGAATACGAACTCCCTCAGGGTCCTGGAAATTATTTCTTCCTTCTAATGCCATTCATTGGAAGCTGTTTTTAAAGATCCCAGCCCTCTACTAGCATCTCTCTTTTTTTATTCCACAGATGACCTGCAGCTTCCAGAAACTTTAGGAATGTACATTTACCTTTTAAATAGGTTACATTACAACATTCTTCCCACACACCATTGAACAATTCCAAATCCCTTTTTCAAAACTGGAAGTAGGTGTCTAGCCAATTTGGAGTTCATTTTTTAAATACTCTGTACAACCTCTGGTGGGTTCAGTACAGAAAACTACTGCCTCCACCCAGCCTGGCAACTTTGCACATCCTGTCACAGCTGGATAAAACCTATCAAGTAGGTCAAGGCTCCAGAGCAGTGTTTCACAACATTAGCTGTCCAGATGCTCTTGGACTACAACTACCAGGAAACCTGGCCAGCACAGCTAGTGGAGAAGACTTTTGAGAGTTTTTGTCCAAGGGATTCTGGGACAAAGTCATATTTCCATCCCATGAAGAGCAGACTGATTACCAGGCTAAATACTAGAGTGAGGAAAAAGGACTTGCATCATAAAATAAAACACTGGGTTGAAAGAAGACATAGGACAGAGCACAAAGGTAGGGGATGGGACTAATGGGTTTATAATCCAGGAAAACACAGGTACATTTGCTAACACTAAAATTAATTGGACAACGTGTAGATTTTTAGGGATGTGGTGGCGCTGCGGGTTAAACCGCAGAAGCCTCTGTGCTGCAAGGTCAGAAGACCAGCAGTCGTTAAGATCGAATCCACGTGATGGAGTGAGCTCCGGCCGCTTGTCCCAGCTCCTGCCAACCTAGTAGTTCGAAAGCATGTAAAATGCAAGTAGATAAATAGGTACCACCAGAGTGGGAAGGTAACAATGTTCAGTGTCTAGTCACGCTGACCATGTGACCATGGAAAATGTCTATGGACAAACATTGGCTCTATAGCTTGGAGACGGGGATGAGCACCACGCCCTAGAGTCGGACATGACTGGACTAAATGTCAAGGGGAACCTTTACCTTTAGATTTTTATGAAAGCCATGGTGATGAAGTGAGGAGTAAATGGTTTGTGTTTCATTTCATGTCTCACTGCAGTACTGTTTTGCATCCAATAATAGCTAACAAACCGTCAAGACATTTTAATCATTTTCGGAAAAAACTGCTGTCTCATTTTCAGATACAGAAACTTGCTCTTCCCAGCAGGAGAACTCTGAGAAAAATTCTGCTAAGGATACTATCAATGACAGGAGAGAAGGGAGGCTATTGGACAATTCTCCCTCTCTGCTGCAGCCACCAATCCTCTAGCAATTAATTGTTCAGGGCACAGAGGACTGAAACAGGAGGTGGATGGAAACTGATAGAAATCTCTTTTGATTCAAAATCCTTCCACTAATAGAAGAATCCCAAGTACATGCATCAGATGCATCTGGGGAAAGGTTTGGATCCAAGTCAGAAGTGCTCTATTATGCCCTTCATATCAAGCCATTGGATTTGGTTAGACAGAACTGGTTAAATATTAAGGACCAGCCCAAGGATTAAAGAAGCCAGATTTAAACTGTCACAGAGAAGGGACAGCAATAGGGCATCACTAGGACCTTTTAGAAAAAACATCTATGCTTTTCGTCACAAAAGAATCCTCTATAAAAAAAAACAGCACAGTAAGTATTTACTTGCATCAGATGTAGTTTACAAGAAAGAGTCAAAACTCTCCTAGCTTTACCTTTCTTGGTCAAGTAAGTCATGCTGTTGGCGACAGCTGCTGTCTTGTCTTTGGAATCCAAAACTGTAAACCTGGCATAATCATCAATGTAAAAATTATCTGTGGGGGGGAAAAGCAACAGTCTCCAGTTAAAACAAATCTCTAAAAATTGTGTAAGAAACCTAAGCTGGCCTCCCAATTAAAATGATACATGTTTACATTAATTATTTAATGTTTAATATTCCTGACTTGATTATAATCAAGATTTTGTGTATCTTGCAAACATACACACACTTCTTTCCTAAATACAGCTGGTATTCAAATAACTCCTTCACACATATGTAAAGAAAGATTTCAGCCAAAGTAAGCTATATTTAAAGGCAAAATAAAAGATGAACATTAGATGGGCAATTCCACAACCTCAGAGCCACAGAATAGGGCATGTGTTGTGTTAACTACAGATATAAGTATGGTGCAAGTGCATCCATGAGAGTGATCATAAGCTCCTACTCTCTTTTCTGAACATTCTGAAAATACCTAACAGCTTCCAAGCTGTCCTCATTCATTTTTCTGTTATACTGTATTTTCAAGAAAGTGCAAGAATTGAATTGCTGTAAGGCAAATTCTAAGAAACAGATAACTAGTCCATATTAACTAAAATAAAAGCCTAAAGGAAGAGGCCTAAAGAAAGATGAAATCATCTAAGGTAAACGAAAGGCAAGAGAACATACACATATACTCAAGGCAAAAGAGACTAACCAATGTTTAGACTAACGCAGATGGAAAAACAGAGACTAGGGATTTCAAATTTTGTGCGAGATCCATGGTAAATACTACATGACAAGGTGGATACTAGAACAGCAAAAACTCAGTTGTATACAAAAAGTAGTATGCATTTTTCACCCATAAAACATTATGCACAATGGCTTACAGGTAGAAAACATGGCTTACTAGTTCCAGTTAAATCTAGGTATTCTCTGTCAGACATCAAGATCCTAGAGTTGATTCGTGGAACAACATTAGGCTGGTTCATGATATATTCAACCACATCTTGATCATTTGACAGCTCACCCTGAAATACAAAAATACAGATCAAGAAGCTCTGAAATTTTTGTTTGTGATCAACTTGGAAAAAACAAAACTAGCCTGAGAACCACATTATTTAAAAAAATATCAGTACACTGGATAGTCCACCTTGTATAAGAGGCTAAACTATTATTTTATATACATTTCTTATACATTGGATATATCTTGGAATAGAAGATCTCTTCGCCATACCATTAGGTACTTTGGAAATCCGCCCATCCCAAATTGAAAGATGATTTGCTATATATGTTTCCAGCACGGTAATCTAAAGATCCCTCAAGAACAAAATATTAGTTGCATAAATCTTAGCTTTCATTTAAAGTCAAGAGCTGTGTTGTTATTTAACCCAAGTTTTAGAACTACATAGCTTACCAAGTACACAGCTCTTTGGAAAAAGCTGGTAGTTTCAAGTATTTTATGCATTGTCACCGTCTCTAGTTCATCAGGATCAAGTTGTTCTTTTTGAAGGGGCATCCCATTAAAAAGCAAAATAGGGAGAGGACCCACACCTGTCTGTTGATAGTAATTATGTCCTTCCTGAAACACACAGAAAAAACAAAGGTTAGTTAATTTCCTCTGTATCCCTACTGCTACCATGGAAACATGCCCCACAGAAATATATGATGAATACAGTAAATTATACCAAAGTATCACAGCATCCAAATTGTAATTTGCACATTGTTTTCAGCATGGAAAAATGCCACATAAACAATTTAAAACACAAAAATCTAAAATCTGAGTATACCATTATGTCAAAATTTTATTGCCAGTTAAGAATTAGTAAGCTTTTATATAGGGATAAATTCATTTATAGGGACGTGGCGCTGTGGGCTAAACCGCAGAAGCCTGTGCTGCAGGGTCAGAAGATCAGCAGTCGTAAGATCGAATCTACGTGACGGAGTGAGCTCCCTTCGCTTGTCCCAGCTCCCGCCAACCTAGCGATTCGAAAGCATGCAAATGCAAGTAGATAAATAGGGACCACCTCGGTGGGAAGGTAACAGCGTTCTGTGTCTAAGTCGCACTGGCCATGTGACCACGGAAGATTGTCTTCGAACAAAACGCTGGCTCTATGGCTTGGAAACGGGGGATGAGCACTGCCCCCTAGAGTCGAACACGACTGGACAAAAATTGTCAAGGGGAATCTTTACCTTTACCTAAATTCATTTACAGTGGTGCCTCGCTTAACGAGTGCCCCGTTTAACGACGAATCCGCATAGCGATGTGGATTTTGTGATCGCAAAAGTGATCGCATTGCAATGTTTTGAATGGCCAAAAATCGCATCGCGATGATCGGTAAGCGTTTCGCATTACGATGTTTTAAAAACAGCTGATTGGCGGTTCCAAAATGGCCGCCGGGTAAACAAAATGGCCGCGCGTATGGAGGATTTCCGCATAGCGGTGAGTTTTTCCCCCATAGGAACGCATTAGATTGGTTTTAATGCGTTCCTATGGGGTTTTTAGTCCCGCATAGCGATGAATCCGGATAGCGACGATTTTTTTTTTGAATGGATTATTGTCGCTATGCGGGGCACCACTGTATATAAGAATACATCCATTTAATCCCACTGAAATGAATGGCGCTAGATAATCAACATTAACTTAAGTCCCATTGTTCTCAGTGAGTGTATTCTAAATGTACAGTGGTGTCTCACAAGAAGAATTTAATTCGTTCCGCGGTTAATGTTGTCTTGCCAAAAATTTGTCTTGCGAAATGCGTTTTCCCATAGGAATGCATTGAAATCTAATTAATCCGTTCCTATGGGCAAAAAAAGTCAGCACGAAGTCAAATTTGGTTTACAAAGGGTTTATTAAGTGCTCTTCAAAGCCATACATATTGTGCAGATGATTTTAAAAAATGCAATAAAAAACTTTAACTTTTTAAACATCATGGAAAAACATTTAAAAATCACCCGTGGGGGTGGGGGGTGGGGGGAGCCTTGCAAGGGTCTGAGGGAGCCTTCCAGGACCCTTGCCACACTCCCCCCACCCCTGCACGGATCCAGCTCTGGCGAAATCGCCAGTTTCTGGGAGTCTTTTGAGGCTTGGGAAGCCTCAGAAGAGTCCCAGAAGCTCGTGATTTTGCCCCCTCTGACCCCGGGGGTCAGGGTGAGTCTCTAAAGGGTCCTGGAACACACCCTAGGACCCTTTGGAGGCTCACCCTTCCCCCCCGCCGGGCCAGAGGGGGAAAAATCACCACCTTCTGGGACTCTTTTGAGGCTTGGGAAGCTTCAGAAGAGTCCCAGAAGCTCGCGATTTTGCCCCCTCTGACCCCTGGGGGGGGGCAGGGTGAGTCTCTAAAGGGTCCTAGGGTGTGTTCCATAAGATGGACCTCTCCATAAGGCTCACCAATTTTTAGGAGAAGAAAACAGATTATTTTTTCCTGTTTTCTTCTAAAAGTTTGGCGCGTCTTATGGAGAGGTCGGTCTTATGGAGCGAAAAATATGAGTAAATGGCATAAAAGGAGCACTCCATGATCGGTTCCAGAAAACTTCATCACTATGAAACAAATCTGTTAGTCTTTAAGCTGCTACTCTATATCCACCACCTAACTTTTTTCCTTTGATTTTGGCAACATTCATGAAACTTATGACATAAAAAATTTAGAGAAAATATTCTTATCCAGCTGCCACCGCACTCAGCAAGCTGACAGAAATCTTACTACAAAGGCTGGAACAAAAGCTGCAGGGCATGAAAATCCATTAACTGTACATAAATTCCTTACCTTCCTATTTTGATCATAAGCAGAATCAGCTCCTAAGATGCTGTTCACTTCTACGTAAGGATATTGCTTCTCAAGAATGCTAACCACATGTTCCACCTTAAGAGTTTCTCCTGCATTTACTTGGTTATATATCTGCAGAAACAAAGATAACACAGACTTGCCATAACATGCCTTTTTGCCTCCACTTTCCAATGTAGCATAAACACATCACCTGTTTTTCCATTCCCCTTGGTTGCCCCTTTTCTTCAGACTTCCATCCTAAAGAGCTAATGGGTGCTACTTCTATTTTCCTTCAAGCTCAAGCTTGTCCTCTTCCATGAAGCTTTGTCCCTCTCTCCACGCCCAAGCAATCAAGCCGATGGAAGGATTTGTCTTTTCAGTTCTGCATCTAAAACTACAGTGGTGCCTCGCACAACGGGTGCCTCACACAACGATGAATTCACACAACGATGCCGTTTTCTGTTAAATTTGCCGCCTCACACAGCGATGTTTCCTATGGGGGATTTTCACACAACGATGTCTCTTTTTCGTTCCTGTAAAAGTGTCTTACAATGTTTGGAAGCCGTTTTAAATGCTTGCAATGGTTAGCCCACCTCCTGAAACCTAAGCAAACTGATTTTGGTGTTGTTCTGACACTTCCTTAATTTATGGTAATTTTTTGTTTTCTCCATTGAAAACCATTGAATGGTCTGTCTAATGGTTTCCAATGGAGAAAATTCAAAAAATCACCAAAAATTAACGAAGTGTCAGAACAACACCAAAATCAGTTTGCATAGGGTTCAGGAGGTGGGCTAACCATTGCAAGCATTTAAAACGGCTTCCAAACATTGTAAGACACTTTTACAGGAGCGAAAAAGGACTTCGCAAAGCCATTGAAATGTATCGAGTCAGCTTCAATACATTCCAATGGAGGAAACATTGTTTCACACAGCGATGTTTCCAATGGGGATTTTCACTCAGCGATGGCAATCTGTTCCAATTGGAACGGATTAACTGGTTTTCAATGCATTCCTATGGGAAATGGTGTTTCACAGAACGATGTTTCACACAACGTTGATTTTTTTGGAACCAATTAACATCGTTGTGTGAGGCACCACTGTATATGGAGTGCCTAACATACCCATATTCCAATATTTAGAGTACCATATTTTTCCGTGTATAAGACGATACTTTTTCCTAAAATAGAATAAAAATGGAGGGTTGTCTTATACATGGAAGTAAGGGGGAAAGAGATCAAAGCGCTGCACAATTGCAGCCCTTTGATCCCGCAGCCCTTTATCGCTGCTTTACTCGAAGTAAAGCAGTGATGAAATGGCTGCAGCATTGCAACACTTTGATCATGCAGCCCGCAGGGCTTAGGAAGTGGTTAAGCAGCAATGAAAGGGCTGCAGATTCAATGGGCTGTGATTGTGCAGCCCTTTCATCACTGCTTTACTTCAGGTAAAGCAGCAATGAAAGGTCTGCAGGATCAAAAGGCTGTGATCCTGCAGCCCTTTCATCGTTGCTTTTCCCCTCCACTTCCGCAGCCCTTTGATTTTGCTTTCGTGGGGCTTAGGAGGTGAAGGGGGAAAGCAGCGATCAAAGTTTCTTATTTGGGGTTGGAAAAGTGGGGGTCATCTTATACATGGAATAATACAGTAAACTAAAAGTCCAAACAGAAAATACAGAGTCAGATATATTAAAAACTGCTTGGTCACAGTTTGGCCATCTATTATTAGTCATTTCAGCATCTGCATTGTTCAAAATGTAAGTAAATGGCCAGCAATCTCACAAAATAAAATAAAAAGCAAATTGACATAATGTGAGCCTCCAAAAGACAATCATTTCCCAAAACTAACTTTCTTCAATGATCAAACTGAAAGGTATCTTAATTATGTTTATGCAATGTTCTGTCATCCTTTTGCGATGGTAGTTAGATAAAAACACAGTGTTGTATCAACACAGGACAAGAGGGATTAAGTCAACAATGCTTACCCAGTTCTTCTTTGGACATATGCAAGGCTTGTCCAAAGGACAAACAGCACTACTTTTCTGGCTGCCTTTCCTATGCACAGACGCAATGGGAAAAAACCCAGCTTTCCAATGTGTAGGTACAACAGAGTCAGTGGGGAGAGCAGGATGAAGACACAGGAAGGCACTGGAATGGCTTTAGAGGCATTTTTCTTGGAGCTTCAAGGGAAATCTATATGCTACTTTTCCCTTCTGTTCCCAGCACTATAATTCCAGGGTGAGGAACAGGACAAATGGACGTTCATATGAACAGTGTTGCCAATCTTCTCCACCTTTCAGCTGCATTACCACCAGGAACAGCATAGGGGGCACACCTACCATTAGCACTTTATACTACTGTGACAAATACTCTGAACAATGGAAGAGTAGGAAAAGTGTGGCTTTGGCAAGATATGTCACCCTTCTGGCATCCCAAGCAAGGTTGCAGTCCTCTCAAGAATGGCCTAGCAAAGAACTCCCACCTGCAGCTGCCCCCATATCTTAAAGAACAAGCTAATTACTTTGTTAGAATTATTATCCCCTCAAATAGATCAAGCAAACGGAATGTCTCTTCTTAATATCCTAGCATAATAGTTAGCATGCATTAAATATAATACATTGCTGTGGGGAAGAATGACTTACTGATATGACTGTCTGGAAGGCATAATTATTATCTACTTCCTGTGCAACATAATTGTAGGCTCGAAGAAGAGCCACCCCAGCATCTTGTAATCCATCAACGTCTTCGGAATCATCAACCACAAACACTAGACCAATCCTATTGAAAAACAGATTAAAATCACAATAAAATATTCAAACTGAGAGTGTCAGTCTTTGAGCTTATGTACATGATCAGATGACATTAATAGCCATCTGGGACCGAAGACATAATGCTGCTCATCCTTTAATAGTGGTCAAATGGACTAAGAACAAGCTGTAATACCATGTTTTCATCCCCACAAACCCTCTCATAAACCATCTCATATGTGTAAACAGTAAACAATTTCTCTTGCCAGTCATAATCAAGGTGAGCCATTATGTACAGTATATACTGGTGTTAACTCTCCTTAACATTTAAGTTCCTATATAACTAGAACTTACAACCAGCATCAAAAGTCAGGTTTGAATTCTGCGTCAGAAACAGACTGAAATTAATATTAACTACTGTTGCTACAATTGAAATGTTGCAAAATTAATGCCATGGTTCCAAGTAGTGAGAGATGTTATGTAGAAGAAGGAAGAGATTATGGTACATGAGAGATGCGCACCTGCCCTCATAGAGGAAGCAGTCTAACAATGCAAATGCACTGCCTAATAACACCACATAAACAAACCCCAGTGGGATGGGAAGTTTCAGAAACATTTAGCAGGCCTCCAGCATGCCAAGTGTTTATTTTTCTTAGGCTCAGGAAGCTGAATAGTTTTGAATGTTACTGAAATTGGTTCAGCTCCTTACAAGTTCTACACACATACAAGTCACAATGTTACCTCAATGGTATATAGTTGCTAAGGAACATTTCAGCCACAGTGAGCAATTCAGCCGAGTTCTCATGAGATGGGTCTATTATTAATACCTGAAAGGGGTAACAAAACAAAGAATTTGAAAGCCATTTCATCTCCTCAGAAGAGATAGAGCAACAGATCATGATCTGAAGAGTACAATTATGTGCAGCTACAGCAAAGCTTGGGACATGGTGGTGCTGTGGGCTAAACCGCAGAAGCCTGTGCTGCAGGGTCAGAAGACCAAGGAGTCGTAAGATCGAATCCACGTGACGGAGTGAGCTCCCGTCACTTGTCCCAGCTAACCTAGCAGTTCGAAAGCATGCAAATGCGAGTAGATTAATAGGTACCACCTCGGTGGGAAGGAAACAGCGTTCCGTGTCTAAGTCGCACTGGCCATGTGACCACGGAAGATTGTCTTCGGACAAAAAACGTTGGCTCTATGGCTTGGAAACCGGGATGAGCACTGCCCCCTAGAGTCGAACACAACTGGACAAAAATTGTCAAGGGGAACCTTTACCTTTACAGCAAAGCTTGGTGTCTGTTATGACAAGTCTGCAAGGCACTTACACATTCTCTCTAAATTGCTTACACCTCTGCTAAATTGGACACTGTCACTGTAACAGTTCTAGTAGAGGTACACAGAGCTCCAGTTAGTGCAGTTATGCGGGATCAGTTTCAGCCTGAGAATAGTGGCAAAGCGCTAAGAGCAACCAACTTCGTGGATTTCTGATCTGGCCTATTTTGGCTAGGGAATGAGACCTACTAGGTAGATTCAGGTCCACCTAGAAGGTCCTTAAAAGATGGATCAGTAGGTTCTTAAAAGATGGTCAGAAAGCTTGAAAGAGACACTTTCTCTAGACCTTAGAAATATCACCCAGCAGCTAACAGAAGCTCTGAGGGCAAAATCTTGGAGGAAGCAGATTATTCTAGACCCATTTCAGCCTGGCTTCAGGTGTTAGTTTGGTACTGAAATGGCTTTGGTCACCTTAACACAAGGTTTTTGTTGGGGGAGAGAAGCTGAGAGTGTGACCCTGTTGATGCACTCTCATCTTGCAGCTTTCAGTAAAAACAACCAATGGTACAACATTTGAATGATTATGTGGGCTGAATGATAGAGGTATAGTGATTATTTCACTAGCAGTGCTGGCTGCAGAAGTTACACTGTGGGATTCTTGTTTGACATGACTGCATCTGAACTGTGGTTGCATCTTATCCCACATATATGAAAATATGATGGCATGAGGTGATACAGTGGAGAGCGCAGTGAATACAACAATGACTACCAACTCAATTTCTCATTTGTCATCTAAGTCTGATGTAGCTGTACAGATACAGTAGTGCCTCAGTTTGTGATTGCCTCAGTTTATGTAATTTTCGGTTTATGAACCGAAATCAGTAAGAAATGAAGCCCCAGTTTACATTTTCTTTTCTTTGCACTACGAAAGGGTTTTCCCAGGGTGCACTGTGCTTATAGTGCCACCCCTTTCGTAGCACAATTGGTGTTTCAGTTTGCGAAATTTTTGTACTGCATAACGTTGTGTAGAACGAATCTGTTTCGCAAACTGAGGTACTACTGTACTAAATTGATGTCTGGAGTCAGTAATGTGCTGGATAAAGGCAAATGAATTGAAGCTAAATCCTGACAAGATGAAAGGCCAGCAGTTAAAGGGTTCTCATGTCCGGGAATTTGGTGTGCTATCTATACAAGAAGGGACTGCATTCTCTCAAAACTGCAGAATCAGTTATTTGTTGCTCACAGTCCACTATTCCTGCAGCAGCTGCCTTGGCTGGCTATTCACTTCTGAACCCAGTTAAAGATATTGCTGCTTATCTTTAAAGCCCTAAATAGCTTATAACCCAAGGATCTGAAGAAGTGTCTCTCCTTCTATTATCCTGTTGTGACTTAAGTCCATCCAGTATATTATATCCAAGAGGGAGACAGATCTCTCGGTTCTGATGCCCTAGTTATGGAATGCCCACTCCAGGGAAATGCAACTGCACCAACACTGCAACTTCTTCAGAGTTCCCAAGGCATTTCAACTGTCTGGTTTGGTCTGTTTCACTCTTAATTTTTTAATTCTTCTAGAGGATTTATTTTTACCATTCTATCTATACATTGTTCTGGTATCCATATGGATAGAAATTTCAATGGTTGTGTTCAACCATCATACAAAACTATGGTCTAGCAAGACCATGTGTATTCGCGAAGGCTTTCACGGCCGGGATCTAATGGTTGTTGTGGGTTTTTCGGGCTCTTCGGCTGTGTTCTGAAGGTTGTCCTTCCTAACATTTCGCCAGTCTCTGTGCTGTCCTCTGAAGATGCCGGCCACAGAGACTGGCGAAACGTTGATTGAGAGAAAGTTTCTGCTTTGAGCTGAAGTTTACCACTGACTCATCTGGAGTTATAAGCCATGGTTGGTAGGATTTCAAAATGGGGCTATAAAAAAATCTAAAATTGCCAACACTGGAACATTCAGTGTGCAGATACAGTAAAACAGAACTACTTACAAGATTATGAAAGTTTTTTCTTATTTGTCTGATTACACCAGGGAAAGTAGGACGGAGCAGCTCCTGGACACTGGAAGGCCAGGAATTGTACCTGCTATCAACTTCAAGATTATTGATCCACTAAAAAAGAAAGAGAGAAATAGAAATCCTCATTTGAACTATTAAATCAGCATTACTATTTAATGAGACATAATATGTACTAAACAGCAACTCTTGGAAAACTAATTTTTCTAGCATTGCTTTCTTAGTACTACACGATGCAAACTATATTTCATTGTGATATATTTCTTTGTGATTTCACTGTAGAGACCAACAATGAAATAAAGGAAGCTCAGCCTGATCGTGTTACCACAGCTATACTGCTCTGCTCTTGCATGCTTATCCTGAAGGTTAAATTCCCTGGCTAGCACTATACAATTGTAGGAACGTCAGGGCCATTTCTGGGGCATCACAGTAGGATACAAATGCCTACCATGTTTTCCCGAAAATAGGACAGGGTCTTACATTATTTCTTGCTCCAAAAAACACATTAAGGCTTTTCAGGGGATGTTTTATTTTTTTCCATGTACAACAATCTACATTTATTCAAATACAGCCATGTCATCTTCTGGTTTCTGCACAATGTTGCACAATGGTGGAGGGCAGGGTTTCACTTAACAGGGGCTTATTTTTTGGGTAGGGCTTATATTACGAGCATCCTGAAAAATCATACTAGGGCTTATTTTCAGCTTAGGTCTTATTTTTAGGAAAACAGGGTATCTTAGCTGTGCCACTCTAGGTGCTTCTCCTTTGCACCAACTCTGGTCTCTTTGACATAGCCCTTGGGACTGGCCTTCACCATCAGTAAAATACTGATCTCAAAAAGAATTGTAACAAGTTTTTCAGATCTTGATTAACTTGATTTAAGATTACAGCTATACCTCTGTTGCAATCTGGAGCTCCGACTAACATGCTAGACATCTGCACGTATCCTGCTGAATTCTAAATTCTCTCAGGCAAAGCATAAATCTTTATCTAATTGCAGTTAAAGTGGTTTCAATAAATTCCACAATGAGAGCCCAGTATTTTCAGCAAATTTAGAAGTCCCCCCCAACAGAGATGTTACAAAGCAGCTTTTTTTTGCCATGGCTACAAACACAATATGAAAGAAATATAGGCTGAATCAGGATTATGTAAGTCACATAATGAACCTTATAAGGTGGTTTGTAAAGAATTGTTTCCAGTCTGTGGCCCTCTTCAAAAATGTCAGCCCCCCTCCCCTGGGCTATATGGTCCCCACTGAGAATGTCTGGTTTAGACAGTGGAACCCATACTTACTGAAATAGCGGTACTTCGGATATCTACAGCATAGTCAGAGTCTGATGGCTGGATGTTTAACTTTAATACATTATGCATGGAAAGACCTACAATTCCTAAACTGTGTAGCCCTTCCATAACACGAGCTTCATTCCTCAGGACATCAAACAAGCTAGAAAGAGCACAGATCAAATAAAATTTTAAAACAGAGCTGTCAATGTACACTAGACTTTTGTAACTGCTATAATGAATACTAACAGAGGAATAGCAATCACAGAGCTCATACCTAAATATATCCTGTGTGTCAAGATCTATATGGAGTCCATTTATGAACAGGGCAGAATCCCCCAGCTGTAAACCTAAAGTGCCTTTGAAATACTGGAGAAAAGTGCAACGAAGCCATTAATAGCAGACCAAGACGTAAACATGATCATTTTTGTTCAACTCTCAAAAAATAAACAAATAAAATCAGAGCAAATATTTTACTTATACATTTAAATGTGAAACACAACAGCCCCCAGCAAGTAGATGTGGAATATTTCCTGACCACTCTTCTCCCATTACAAATGAGTGTCTCCATCATAAATAATGACTATTAATGCATGTAATAACAACACATGAACTATCCTATTATAGATGTATCAGGTGAAATTCAAAGAAACTAAACAAAAAGAAAAAAATGTAACAACTTAAAGACTTTTATATTTTTACGTAAGCTTTCGTGGATATGTTTATTTTGTCAGACATAAAGAAACAGAATGAAATGGAATGAAATATAGATGAAATACTGGTTTCACATTCTAAATGTTCACTGGTGACGTGCAATAATTAGGCCTATGTTTGTTTTAGGGTCCTGTTGTAAAAAATATCTATTAATCTATTATAGATGTTGACTGATAAGCCATTAAATCAAGAAAGTTAAACCAGCTTGCTATCTGCCATTTTGGTGGTTTTTCTGTGGACCCTCTTTATTAAATTCCATCCTCTGTTCAGACACATGAGAAATTCAGACACATGGACAGTCTTCAAATTGCAGCCCTTCTAATTTGCAGTCCTCAAACTATCCAGCTATCCAATTATGAATAACATTAACAGATGGTTTCATTATACTGTAGGATCAAACTTTTTTAAAAAAACTGAATAATGAGACAAATTAAGACTAATGCCTGACAGTAGCTGTTCAGGCTGGGTGACATTACTGGCTGCAAAGACAAACAGTGATTGATGCAAAGGAGATGCCACATGTTCATGAAACCAAGGTACTCCATAAAAAGGAGATGCCACATGTTCATGAAACCAAGGCACTCCATAAAAGGCATTACAAGGTGGCTTTTACATTTGCTGTCCCAACCAGGTGCAGTCAGAATGGGTACAAAAACCTATCACAATTACATTGAGGAAAAAAAAATTCATCCTCCCAAATTAACATTTTCCACCGCAGTCAAGCAATACTCAAGCTGAAAAATCAGATAAACCATCAAATTGCCATCTGAAGCCCAAGTTTGATCCCCACAAAATAAATTTAGAGCAATTGAAAGACTGTTGTACTGAATCACAAGCAACTGTTCTCATCTTCACAAGGTATTTAAACAACGTCCTCCAATTTTTGTCCTGCGGTTCCTCTCCTTGTTGTGACAATCCAGTTCAACTTAGGCAGTTATTTTTTTAAATATATTTATTCAGAGACCTCATTAAGATAACTTTCTCAGTGCTTTGCATATAAATACTGACATTTCTTAGTACTTTTTATTCCCCCAGTATATTTAGTGTTTTCTAGGCTTTGTTTAGTTATGGTCAATAAGGGGGTTCCACATTATCTCCCCTATAGAAATTAATGCTTCTTTCTTTTTGACAATCCTTTTACTCTGGCTATCATTCACAGATGCTTCAAATATACTCTGTACCATGCTAGCTTCTGGAAGCTGTAAAAAAATCTATTTGTACATTTTATCAAAATTAGCAATTTAGAATAGTAATATAATGCTGAAAACTGTATTGTTGTTTTTAATTCCTCCCCTCGGGAAGGACTAGCTTTTCATGAAACACATATGCTCCTGGAATGTGTTTCTGAGTAGCATGTAATCTGCTCATGGGGAAACAGTATAAATCACCTTGTCTCAAAGAGAGAGACTAAAACAACAACTCTCATTTCCAGGCAGATGTGGTTTCTCTACTGTTCCAAGCATTTTGGGGAAAGAGACTGGAGAGTCCAAGGTGTTTTGTTGCTGTTGACTGTTTTGTTTTATATGTTGGATTTTTGAAAAATATTTATTGCTTTAAATTGGTCAGTAAAAATTATTTTAATGTATATGTTCACATATTTTAAAAAGCATAAAAAATCCTGAAAGAGCAGAAAAACCCTCAGAAAAATAAAATAAAAATAAATTGTGGTTGAAGCTGCAATACCAAAAAATAAGGAAATCCTCAACTCTTTTGGAGACTGATCTGTGGTCTGAAACTATCATCTTTTTCTGTTTAGATTCAACTGTCACCTTTTACTCTACAATACATTTTTCCTTCTGGTTCAGGAGCATGTTTTCGAGATTATATTCCCTTTGAGTAAGAGTGAAATTAGAGTCAGTGTGCCATAGAACGGGCAGAAGGCCAGACTAAGTGGGCAACCACTTTACCAAAAGCTGCAGAAGATGCTTCATGTTTGGGGTGGGCTGATTCACATTTCCCCCTGTTAATTAGATGGCGCAATAGGAAATGCAAATCAGCCCAGAGTCCTCCCCTACCCAGTTCATAACTTTTCCTGCCCACCCAGATATCTTCTACTTTTTAAAATTACAAATCATTTTGGATCAATTCAAGCATATGATTGCTTGAATCAATGGAGAAAGGGAGGATAGGATCTGTGCATGCGCACCCTAAAAGCAAGTCCCCCTCCCTCTCCTCTTGCCTCATTAAGGTCTGGACGTGCGCACACATATGGCAGTGCCAGTATACACTCTGCCCAGTAAAGCCCCTCTCTCAAGATTCTTCTTTATTTTAATTTTTTAAGGCTTCCCATCCTGGACAACACTGCTGTTATTTTATTTATTTGTTAGTCTGACAAAGCAAAGCTCGGTGCTGGAAGCTGACAACTGAAAAAGGTAAAAGCCTGTATCATTGGCTATTAATGTACAGTCGTGCCTCGCATAGCAACGTTAATCCATGCAGCAAAAATCGCTGCTAAGTGATTTCATTGCTATGCGATTTTAAAAAGCCCATAGAAATGCATTAAAACCTGTTTAATGCGTTCCTATGAGCAAAAAAGTGACCTTAGTGAAGATCCTCCATACAGCGGCCATTTTCGCTGCCCGGTAAGCAAGGAATACATCCCAGAAAACAGCAGGCAGCCATTTTTTAAACCCGGCGGCCATTTTAGAACCGTCAATCAGCTGTTAAAAAATCATAGCTTTGCAATGGCCGGTAAGCGAAACAGGGAACCGATCATCGCAAAGCAGGAAAAAAAACAATTTAAAACATCACAATGCGATCGCTTTTGCGATTGCAAAATCTTCGTCGCTATGTGGGTTCGTCGCTAAACGGAGCGCCCGTTAAGCGAGGCACCACTGTAGTTCTTTAAAGTGTGCCACCTGCAGGAACTATAAGAACTGCAAGCAGTCTGTTGAAGTGTGGCCATTTAAATCAAAGGGATGCAAATTCTCTGGTATGACTTCATAGCAAGGGAATGCACTTTTCCCTCTCTGTGTAGTCACATTCTAGGGTTCAGGGGGCCTGGCTGAAATCCTTGCTTAGCCATGGAAACTCACTGAAGGGTGGCAATATCCCTTTTAATACTCAAGTTGCCTTGGGTCCTTTTGGAGGGAAAGGTGGGATAGAAATATTATGAACAAACAAACAAACAATATGTCCTGTCAAGTGGATCCCAACGTAGGGTGATGCTGGCCAGGATTTTCCAGGTAGTGCATACTCAGAAGTGTTTAACCATTCCTTTCTTTCTGGGCTCACTCTGGGATTGTGTAGCTTGCTCTTCTCCTACAAGGCACAATGGGGAATTGAACTCCAACCTCTGGCTGAACAGCCACATGCTCCACCTCACTGAGCTACAAGCATCTTGCATAACTTTAAAACTCAATCAGGGTTGCAGGAAAGCCGAGGTGACTTGATGGTACATATGAAATGTGTGGTGGCAGCAACCAATTACAATGTGAATTCAGTTTTAAGCTGAGAAAAACTATAAAACATGTTAACTAAGGCGACTTTAGCAAGAAAAAAAACAGTTATAAATAATTTTGCTCAAAACACCATCAGTTAGAAACAGCACTGCACAAAACAACTTTTGTTCTCATTCAAGACTACCAGTCCTATTTCCTACTGATACCATCCTAAGATGTACAGCAACTGCAGAAGCAGCAACAGAAACTCAGGTCTATGGCTACGGAGCATTCTCTGCAAGACAACCAGGAAGATATACAGCGTTATATTGTGGTGCCTTTGCTATGACTCAGGAACAGCCTTGTATGAACAGATAATCTATATTGTTTTCTTTAATCAGAGCAAGGTTTAAGTTTGAGCATGGCTCTCATAAGTACTTCTTATGTAAAATGTGCAGTATTTTAAATAATGTCTGCTACCTAATATTAATAGAAATACTTTAAAGCTATGCAAAAAGTATAAAAAGAGAGACAGCTACTATAGTGTAATATTCATGTAACACTAGCAGACTTTGGCCTAATTCAGCCATGAAACTCAAATGCATATGCAAGTGCATCCTCTTACCTTTTGATTCTCTTCAATTTCTGATCTAAGTTCTGAAGGAACCACTGTCTTTGTTATCGCCCTATGAACATAAATATGTGCACATATAGTTATATATAACCAAACACTTGTTTATTGTTAAATGCAACAATAAATCTTTCACCTTTTTTGAAGCAACAATTGACTGATTTCTTTGAATCGAATGTGGAGCTGAAAGTCAAACCCTCACAGAAACAAAACCAATATAGTACAGTGGTGCCTCGCTTAACGGGCGCCCCGTTTAATGACAAATCCGCATAGCGATTGCTTTTTTGCGATGTTGCCTATGGGGAAAAATCTCTTTGCAATTTTTCCCCATAGCCCCATTTTCCCCCAGCTGACCGGCGGGGGCTTGGGAAGGACTGTGGGGGAGCTCTCCCTGTGAGGCCCCCAAAGTGGAGGCCTTAGTGGGAGTGCCGTCGCTCTCAAGGAGAACCCTCCACACATAGACATCCCCACCTCCATCCCCAATGCGTCGGGAAGAGAAAGGCGTGGAGACCCCAGATTGGGAACAAGTGGTTGCCGAACCCCTTACCTTGAATAAGGGGGTAGATACCCAAGACTTGGAGGCGACTATGAAAGGGTTAACCCTTTCCCCGAGACCCGGGGAATCTTTGGCGGGAAGAAGGAGGAAGGTGATTGAGGCGGCGGCGGGAGATATAAAGGGAAAGCCGGCGGAGATACCGGGGGGATGGGAGTGGATTTGGATGGAGGATCCTTGGACCCACAAATGGGAGCAGGTCCGGGTCCCCCATGAGGAGGCGGAGAAACGTCGACAACTGGGGTTGAAGCCTCGCCCTTCATATTGGGGTGAGACCGAGGCAAAAGAGTGGAGGAGGAAACTCCGTGAAGAAAGAGAAGCGGTTGCTAGGGAGCTTGAGCGGAAGAAACAATGGCATATAGCCGAGTTGAGGAAACTGGGGGGTTACCCGGCTCCTGGGGGGTCGACAGAGGAGATGGGTCGTCCTGGGGTGAGTGGAGTGGGGACGAAGAGACTCTACCGTTGATATCCTTGGATGAAGAAGTGGACCCTGGGCAGGGGACTGTGCCGTTGTTAACAGGACCTTGGAACCCAGAGACGACAAACCCTTTTCTAAATGTTTTATGGACACCGTTAAAGCCAAGCAATATGTTACAAGAATCCTTGAACCCCTTTTTAGGGGTGAATCCTGTTGGAGTTGATGTTGCAATAAATACTGAGCCCTTTGGTTTACCTCAACCGTCTCGCCCTTTATTTGAGGAACAGACAGCCCTGAAAACTGAACCCTCACACTCCCCCACGGTCCTCGCAAAGCCCTAGCCGGCATTTTCCCCCAGCTGAGCAGCGGGAGCTTCTGAAGGAGCGCTGCTCAGCTGGGTGAAAATGCCGGCGGTGGCTTCGGAAGGACCACGGGGGAGCCCTCCCCCGCGGTCCTCCCAAAGGCCCCATTTTTGCACAGCTGATCAGCAGTTCCAAAATGGCCGCCCGCTGCGTTGCCTCGCTTTAGAGGCACCGAAAATGACCGCCCCTATGGAGGATCTTCGCATATTGGTGAGTTTTCCCCCCATAGGAACCCATTAAACAGGGTTTAATGGGTTCCTATGGGGTTTTTTGCCCCGTATAGCGACGAATCCGGATAGCGACGATTTATCTGGAACAGATTATCGTTGCTATGCGGGGCACCACTGTATTTCACATTTCTTATTTTATTATTGGCGTCTCATCTTTTATAGGAAATACAGTACCTAATACATGATAGCCTGAATCCACCATGTATTATGTATTCCCTATATTTATGCTGATGTAACTCCCGTGGTGTAAATCTCAGTTGGGAATTGCAACAGATTAAGGCGGCAGCATAGGCCTCTGCTATTGTATGCCAAATCACGTGACTTGTGCAAAACAAAAGGCTTACAACCAACTTCTTTACTTGCAACAATTCACAGCTAAGATTTATGCTGACAGAGTTCTATGAATGGGCATACCTAATAGGACTCTGGCCCATAGTTTAAATGAAGAATATTGTAGCACTGATTCATTGGTACTGTACTTATAATTCAGGGATACTACCCCAATGCTCCTAGACCAGTTATGACTAAATATGCCTCTCATCCTTCATGTCAAACAGGTGGCCAAGGCTGAACTTATTTCTGGGTGCTCAGTACAGGCTTTCCTCTGTCTTCAATCCTTTTTATGAGAACACATATAATGTACATCATTCTTTTTATGCACACAAATGGTTTAAAACTTATGAAACATGCCATGAACATTATGTCAATTGGCAAGGAAGCTATTTTTTAATACTTTAAATCTGTAACAGATATTTTATTGCCAGTTTCTGAAACTTAAGTATACAGGAAGGCAGGTCTTCCAAAAGTCTATTGATCTATAATAGTGTTCATATTCAAGTATGAAAAACAAGATCTCAACCTGAAATCTTAAAAACCTTCCAAGTGAAATAGATGGTTAGCACAACATATTTGTGCTACTACTTACTAATGGTTGTAATATCAACAATTACCTTGCTTTTGTGGGAAAATTTTGACTTAGATCTTTCATGACCATCAAAGTGTCCATAGTGGGAGCAGCAAGAATCCGGGCAGCAGTTTGAAAACTTAGATCTAAAAATGAAAACATTTCATTCAATTATCATAGCATCCATAACACCAAACACACTTGGGCAATATTTACTTAGGTTTTTCCACTGATGGAATTGCTTCAGTTAGTACTACTGGGAGTAAGTCCTCCAAGTCTGTTTTAGATGGGTGTCTGGAGACTTTCCAGTGCAGATTTTCAAGTTCTCCAGCGCATAAAAGCACTGTCAGGTGAGCAATCTTCTTCCCTTTAAACTTAGCTGTCCAGGTACTGATCAGCATAGCCTCTTAATGTTTTTAAGCGTATAAACATTCTTCCATGCATTTTGATGAAGACATTAATGTGACCTGTTGAACCCATGTTTGAAGGGATGTGATGCATCAGTACTACACATCAACCATTTTATGTAATTCCAACAACCATATTTCTAAGAGGTTATGCAACAAACACAAAAACACTCACTAGTTGGAAATCAAACAGAATGACCTGAATTGTAGAATGTGATCTTGTGCTCTTCCCATCCTTGTTTTCAAAAGCAAGCCTTTGTATAGATGGGAAATTTCTTAAGACTAGTATGCAGATGTACTGTATCTCAGAATGCACACCTTGTATTACTTCTAAACACATTTATGGATACATCTCCTAACACAGTAGTTTGAAGTCATGGAATCTGTTTATAGTATATTTGTAATAAAACTCAAAAACTCTTCAACAGCTTCTAAAAAGTACATTTTGACAATATTTTCCAAATTTGCACAACACAAATACAACTATGTCTACACATATGCAACCACACAAGATAAAGAAATAAAATGCAGATACCCTGTAATTGCCACACTTTTAAGGGCGCCATTTCATTTGTGCTTTCAACAAGATGTTTTCTTAGTTCTTTTAATTCTTCTTTCAAAGTGGGATGCAACTGGCTGGGAAAAAACCAAAATGCATTTTTAATAATTAGCATTAGATACAAATATTAACTACCCATGAAATGTGGATTTAGATTTTTTTATTGGACATCTCACAAGTTTTAGTGTGAAAAAACAATTGAAGTTCTTTTTACGTTTTCTTGTCATTTTTAGAATAGGCTAGGCAAGATAGCAAGAAAAATAAAGAGGCTTATCAAAATGATAATGTGTACCTGAGTTTTCCAAATAGAAATCCTTGCACTTCATCAATGGGGTCATTTTCACCTATTACTGTTGCATTCATATCTGTACCTAGAAAAACATGAAAACCACTCTGGTTAGGACACTATTCAGGAAACCACCAGCAATAAAGAGATTACTTTTAAGGCTTCAGTACATTTTATTAATACATTGCACATTCACACAAACTAGAGCACTGGTTCTTAACCTTGGGTTACTCAGGAGTTTTGGACTGCAACTCCCAGAAGCCTTCACCACCAGCTATCCTGACTGGGGTTTCTGAGAGTTGCAGTTCAAAAGCATCCGAGTAACAAAGGTTAAGAACCACTGAACTAGAGCATCTTCGTCCTATTCTGCAGACAATCATTGTAGTTGCTTAAACAGACATCAATGTCATTATCTGGTCATCCCCCTGCAGATTGTGTTGTTCACTATGCTATCACTTTCAAGCCACTTTCTAGTGTAGATAGGAGGGTGGAGAACCCCTGCATCCTTCACAGTTGTCTCCTTCTGCTTTCTAGGCCTCATTTCTTCACCTGCTCCCACTCTAGCACCATAGGAAGCTGATGTCAAATATTTTTCCCAATGATTAGAAGTTACTTGTTACACATCTTCTATACTGGACAAAGTAAGAACTACAATATTTATTGCATATTTTTTTCTCACTTGCCAAATTGACTACTATGCAGCCCATAACTTCCTAAATACATGTGTGTCTAATAAAGATACAAAGCACATTTAATGATTGCTATAAGTTGGGGGCTGATAAAATTTAATGGTTCTTTAAAAGCAAATTGGTTTAAATCATGATTTAAGTCAAAAGAATCATTTATTTATTCAAATGGTTTTAAAAATCCAATTTTTAAAATTTCAATCGAAATTTAAATCAATTTTTAAAAATCATGATACAGAGCATTAGGAGGTAGATCTAAAAGTTACTGCATCTAACCCCAATAGGACTTGATGACAAGGATAAGTTGAAACAACAACAACAATGCCAGAGTGGCAGAAAAGTCAATGATGACACTTTTTTTCATCACTGAAGACAGTGGTCAATTGATGTTATTTAACCTGCATTGTGGAAATATAAATATTATGGTATATAAATTGACCTGAAAACAATCATTACATAATATCATCCATATACTCTCAAAGAATCATTCATTCTTAAATAGCATCATAGTGACAGAGCATGAAAAGAATTGAGAAATGCTTTAGAACATAACCATTGCTACTGTTAAGGTAGGAATTCACCTTTCACCTGGGTATCATCCTTGGCCTTATATTCTGTGCTTTTAATGGCCAGCTCCACTCCATAGCCTGACAGATAGACCTTTTCTTTGCTTGGATTCTACAAAAGAAAGTCAAAGCAAGGAACAGTAATATTTTTTATGGATCTTGTGTCTTGCCCAGTTTTGCAATACCATGGGTTGCTGGCAAAAGCACCACCCATTTTTAACTTTCTCATTGTAACGAATACTTGAAAGCACTGTGGATTTCCCTTAGTACCCTTCCAAAGTAAGCAAATCTAAGCTTGAGCTCCCATTGGTAAGAAGATGAAAACTGTGTCTATTATATGATAACCACAGTGACTCCCACTTTGACTTCTTGGCAGGAATTAAGTATTTCTCACTACTTTCATGAAATCTTGCTCTTGATACTCTCTGACACCTTTACTTTTACCATGAGACGATGACATAGTACCCTCGGAATAGGGGAACAGTAAATTATGACATCTCTCCAGAAGGGAGCAGTAGACTGCCTACAGTAATCTCTCTCTCTCTCTCTCTCTCTCTCTCTCTCTCTGTGTGTGTGTGTGTCAGACAGCTGGCAATCTGCCAAAATGTCCAGACACCTACTGGGGATTCATAGTGTCACAAATATAATTAAGTAAATTGAAATGGCAAACTACTACTAATTAAAGAGTCGCAGCTTCCATTCTCAGCCAGCATGCAACCAGGAATGTAAGCAGCAAATCATTACTTAGGAGCAAATAATCCCCACAATTTACACAATCACATGTATGCAGGCATAAATCTGTGACAGGATACTGGCCAGTGAGTAGCACAACTACTGCTTCTCTGCATCCATTCAATGACAAGAGAGAGGCCTTTAAAAAATATTCAGTGCAGTCACAGGAGTTAACTGGGGCACTAAGAATACCCTAACTGCCAAAAAAAGAACTCCAGCCAGGAATGCCCTAAATATTTTGTGTCTCTTAATAGCTGGATAGAGTTCATGTCCTTGATCATATTCAGCCTACACAACTTTTGGTTGTCATATTTCTAAATACATCATAAAAGGAAAGCCTCTTTCAACATACATAGGCCTTTGCAAAATATAATCACTGTCTGACATTACAAGATCCATGTGATGTTACAAAAATGTCAAACTCAAATTTAAATCTTTAGACTAGATAAATCATTTTTGAGAAACAAATATTCCTGTAGACTAAAAAAAAATCATATGGCTTCTACGTCACAGCCATACTTACAGCGACATAATGCCTAAGTAGGTAGGTTATCTTCCCTGCATTGACTTTTGATACAAGTAGTTTGTGGAATTTGGAGAAGTCTTCAGAGCCAATCTCAGCATACAGTATTACAATAGGACCTTCTGGGTTTGAACCTGGGTACTTATGGTCTCCTTTGAATACAAAAGGCTTTGGCCTAGAGCAAGACAGACAGACAAATCTAAAAACTGGGCTTTAAAAGGACTGGATAATGCACGTAAAACACAATGAGCATGTGAGAGTTCTATACATTAGCTTACTACAATGTTCTGATTCTAAACCATCTCAAAGGTGCTTCATTAGAAAGATTTAAAATAATCAAATTAAAGCAACAAGACAAATTTCAGACCATATGCGGTATCAAATAGGATTAAATGTTATTTTTTAATTATCCTTTTGTAAATCAAAGCTCAGTCCAATCGTTACTACCTGGTAGACTCACCGAATGAATGGGACTCATTAAGTCAACACTGATGAATGTTTCATTGGCTGAAATCCTCTTGGCAGAGTTGCACTAAGCAATGTCATCAGCCATGGCTATTTCAAGGCAATGAAAAAAAACTTCTAGATCTCCCCCTTCCCAAGTTACAGGAATCCCTGGAGAGCCTTTTTGTTCCAGAGCACCCTTAAAACTGGAACAGAGATTTTCTGGCCTCAAAACAGCCCACTCCCACCCCAATTCCACAGCTACTGAAAGCTGCCCTAGGATGAAGACAAGACATAGGGATTCCCAAAACCTGGAGGAAGGGTTCTAGAAAGTTTTTTCATTGCCCCAAGACAGCAGCAGATGATGACATAATCCTTGTTGAGATATAAAATTGTGCAACAGGATTTCAGCCACTATTCAGTAGGTCTATTCTAGATCGTATCAACAATTCAATTTAGTTTCAGGTGTTTCAATAAAGCAGACTTCTGTATCGAGAAACTATTTCTGGTAAAAGCTATCAAATAAACCATCCATCTGACCTGAAATCCATTATTGTAATCTAAACCACACATTAGATTAAAATTCTAAACCATTAAACATGAATTAAAAGTTATCTGCTACATTCTCCAGAAGACAAATAGGAAAAACAAGAGACTGAATACTTTCATTTGATACTGGAATCCTGAAATTGTTGATGACACCCAGTATCTTTCAAAACCACCCACATTGTTCATATTTCAGGATACTCAGGTTGACCAAGAATATAGAACCATTGGCTCAAAATAACTTTGAAAATAAAATGTATATATGAAGCAGAAACTCACTATTTTCTCTAATAATTAAAAGAAGAAGAAATAAGCAGAATAAATGATGGATTTGTGCAAAACAAAACAACCTTTCCAAAGCTGTCTGTAGGAGCATTCCAAGTCTGTCAGATGTACAAGTCTTCTCTCCATGGACAACAAAGAATGCATTACATCTTTCTGGTGGGGGTTCATCAGCTGCTATCTGTTTAAAAATATATCTGTTGTAATATGATACAACTTCCATTATGGGGAAAAATAAATCACATAATCAAAACAACAGGATCTTAGGATATCCCATTTCTGATAGATACAGTTGTCTATGTGTAAGTTTTTAAAAGGGCTGAAACTATACCTGAGCTGTATATTTTTGAAGTGCTTCTACTTTATATGTCTCATTTTACCTCTAATGAGCTCAAGACAGCCATACATGCCTTTTTATCCCCCTTACATTATCCTAATATTCTGCCAAACATCTCCTTTGGCTGACAAGCAAGAGCACAAACAATTGGAAGGCAGAACATATTTCAGGGTCTGAACTGGCAAGCAATCAGGGAAACTGGGATGGGAGGAAAGGGAGGAAACGTAACCTAGTAATTCAGCATGGCCCTATAGCCTATTGTCAGTTCCCGACATAAACTCCTGAACTGTCAATAAGGTGGTAGAGTCAAGTTTATCTGATAGGCTGCTAGTCCAAAGAGGTAGAATATCGGCCATTTCCCTTCGTATTGCTACTGTCTGCATGAATCATGAGTATAGAATAAATCCCAAGAAGCTTTGTACTAACCTGTTGAAAGGCTTGAACTGTAGCTGAATAAGATCGGAGAGATAAGGCAAATTTCAGCAAGTTCTGTTGCAAAGGTGAAAGATTCTTGGAAGCTGCCTGCAGCATTGCATTGTAAGTGGAGTAATCAGTACCTGCCGAGCCAGAATGCAAAGTATTTAGATTTTATTGGAAAGGGAGACTGATTTCAGAATATGTCATCTAGAAACAGTTCATATTTACCCATCTGCAACAAGCAATAAGCTTTCAGGCCGGACAAGGCACCAGCACTCTGTACAGTCAGACAATTCTGGAACTGTATTACTACAGACCCATCAACTGGCAATATACACTTTGATCCTGGACTATCTTCCTCTAAAAACTCTATTTCTAAACTTGACTATTCACAAGAAATAGCATGGTTGTTATTTCTAAACTGGTCAATACGAAACCTAGTTTCTTACAGCAAAATGTTTCAGCATTATGCAGTATTGGAATAAATGGCATATATTTGCGTAAGTGGGATACCTGTTAAAGTAGGCTACCTATTTAAAAGTATACTAAGAGGAAGATACAGTTGAGACATTGAACTCTAACTCATTTGCTGCAACACTAAAAATTTCCATACTTCACTAACCGCGACTATGCAGTCTATTCCACAGCTAGCAGTTCAGACAACTGTTTGAGGTTCCAAAAACCTTTTGATTATCCGGCTTCATTCTGGAATAGACCCTTTTTTGGGATAATGCAGCTGCAATGAATTTTCCATGGAGATCTATAAAGTTCTGTAGGATTCCTAGAGAAGGTCATCAGTCTATCTGATCCGACACTCCACTTTCAGCCACACCCACAGGTAGAATGCAGCGGATAACACCTTTTCCAAATTAGAATTTGAGCCTAAACTAAAATACATTCTTCACCTGTCTTGAAATATCAGGGAGCAACAACTTCAAACCATAAAGGGAAAAATTACTATTTTATATTTAATGTGAAGCTTCAAACACAAAGAAAAATACATCTCAATGTCTGTTATTATACTGCAAAAGACTTCACAAATAATTCCAACATTCAGCACAAAATATGTATCTTGTTAACAAAGCAATCAAGGAATGCAAACATTACCATCGTGATTAGATGATCCAAAGTCTTGGCAAGTTTCCACAAAATTCCAGAATTTCTCTTGACTATCTTCTGCCAAAAATTCACTAAAAAGAGGAGTAGGAAGCATTAGATTACATTTTTTTGTTGTTGTTTAGTCGTCAAGTCGAGTCTGACTCTTCATGACCCCATGGACCAGAGCACGCCAGGCCCTCCTGTCTTCCACTGCCTCCCGGAGTTGGGTCAAATTCATGTTAGTAGTTTCGAGGACACTGTCCAACCATCTCATCCTCTGACGTCCCCTTCTCCTCTTGCCTTCACACTTTCCCAACATTTTATTACTTAGGGGGGAAAAACAGTTTTGCCTCTTAGTTGTTGTAAGACTGACAGTGAGAGCCAAATTCCTCTCACGGGAGTGCCGTCCCTCCCGCCCTCTGCCGACAAGAAAGTACAAACACCACCTATTCCTGGTTGTTGTGGGTTTTTCGGGCTCTTTGGCCGTGTTCTGAAGGTTGTTCTTCCTAACGTTTGGACAGTCTCTGTGGCCGGAAGAGAGATTGGTGATCACTACACACAAAAGACCAGCTAACAACACCCATCAATCACAGCGACAGATAATCTCTCTTTCTTATCACAACAATACACCCATAACAAAAACACACTAATCACCATAATCAATCTTGAAAAGGAGAAAAGGTGATCTCACAGCCATAAATACTCAACTCCCAAACAAACTGCACCAGAGCACAGAGTGCTGTCCTCTGAAGATGCCAGCCACAGAGACTGGCAAAACGTTAGGAAGAACAACCTTCAGAACATGACCAAAGAGCCCAAAAAAACCCACAACAACCACTAGATCCCGTCCGTGAAAGCCTTCGCGAATACACCACCTATTCCCCCTCCCAGGAAGATAAGACCACCCAAAACAGACCCAGGGATTGTAGAAGGGAAGTGGAAAGAAATGATTGTTAAAGAAAGCAGGAATGTTTTGGTGGGAATGGAATGACAGCCCCGGGTAGAGGTGGAGGCGGGGCTTGTGGATGTAAAGAGGGGGAACGGGAACCTGCCTCATGGTTGGGAGTGGATTTGGTTGGAATATCCATGGATGGGAAAGGTAGAAAAACTAAGGGTCCCAAAGGAGGAGGCGGACGCTAGGAGAAGTGAGAGCACCCCTAAACCATCTTATTGGGGGGAATGAGAGACAAAAGAGTGGAGAAGGAAGTTAAGGGAACAGAAGGAAAAGGTGGAGAGGGAGAGGAGAGAAAGCTTGGAATGGCGGATGATGGAGCAACAGCGGAGGGATCCCTCGGAAGACTATGGCAGGAGGATTCCCCCTCAAGAAACCTGGTTTGAACAGAAGATCGGGATGAAGACACAGTCCCCTTACTGGAAGGGGAGACAGGACAATTACTGAACACGGATTTTACACTGGAATGGCTGGTTCCCTGGAATATTCAGGGGTGTAACCCCTTTACAGTTGAAGACTGGAAGCCCCATCTATTATTTTTTATTATTTTATTTATTTTATTTATATCCCGCCTATCTAGTCGATAGACCACTCTAGGCGGCTTCCAACAAGAGATACAACAATAAAAACAACAGAATTACATAAAAGAAAAATTTCAACAAGTTAAACATTAGGAAAGAAGAGAGGAAGGGATCAGGAATTAACTAGGAGGGAAGGCCTGCGTATACATCAATGTTTTTAATTGCTTTTTGAAAATACCCAGCGAGGGGGCCGCGTGAATATCAGGGGGAAGGTTGTTCCAGAGGTGAGGAGCCACCGCCGAGAAGGCCCGATTTCTTGTCTTTTCCTTCCGGGCCTCCCTCGGCGTTGGGCTCCTCAGCCTCACCTCCTGGCTCGCACGAGTGACACGGGTAGATCTTGGTGGTAGAAGGCGTTCCGCCAAGTATCGAGGCCCTAAACCGTTTAGGGCTTTGTACGTAAGCATCAACACTTTGAAGTCGATGCGGAATCTGATGGGCAGCCAATGCAATGCGGCCAGAGTGGGTGAAATGTGTTGGAATTTTTTCACCCCACTAAGGAGTCTGGCCGCCGCATTCTGCACCACCTGGAGTTTCCACAGCAGCCTCAAAGGCAGCCCCACGTAGAGCGCATTACAGTAGTCATCTAAGCAGTTGTTAGAGGGAGGAAATGGTTGGAATACCTTCGTTGACACAGGTTATTTGTTAAACAATCCAATGTTACACCAATTTCTAAACCGAGAAAGTCTGTCAATTTATTTGAAGACAAACCAGAGCCAGACCCCGAACCCTCACAGTTGTTCACAAAACACTGTGGTTCAAAAGTTCCTGGTCAAATTTCATTCAGCTACAAAACTAGGTAAACTGAGTAACCTTAGGAAAGTCACTGCCTCTTTGCATGGCTTGCAAAACAGTAAATATACAGTGGACCCTCGACTTATGCGCAGCTCCACTTGCAAACTTTTTGAGATACGAACTTCTCCGGGCGCAAAATTTCCGATCGACTTGCAGCCAGAGAATCAACCTACGGACCGGAGGGGGAGGGGGAGAAACCATCAAATTAAAATTTGGTGCTTTCCCTGCCTCCCCCTTCCGGTCCGTAGGCCGCCGATCGTGCCTCTGGAGGCCTCCCAGGGCTTCTCCGCCACCATGGGAAGCCTCTCGGAGGTCCGCCACCGCCGCTGGCTTTCCCAGGGTAGACCGGGCCTACCACGGGAGGACTTCCCCTGGTAGGCCTGGTCTACCAGGCTTTCCCGGGTGGTAGACCGGACCTACCAGATGAAGCCCTTTCCTGGTAGGCCCAGTCCACCCTGGGAAAGCCTGCATTGGCAGGGGTGGGGGACCGCCAAGAGGCCTTGAGCAGTGGCAGGGAAGCCCTCGGGGGCCTCGGGCACCGGCGATGGCCCCCTGGAAGGCTTCGAACCGGTAAGGTGTATTTATTTTCTTTTCTTTTTTTTGCGTGGGGGGTATTTTTTCTTCGGCCGGTTGCGGATTAATGGGTTTTCAATGCATTCCTATGGGAAATTGACCCTCAATCTATGGACTTTTCGACCCGCAGCCACCGTTCCAATACAGATTAAGTCCGTAGGTCGAGAGTCCACCGTATCACTAATTTGATTTAAAATCTTGGTAACATGGGTTACCAAGATTATATATGTAAACTACTTTCTTTAAAAAAAATACTTCCAACATTCTTACCTTGCTTCAAGTAATAATGGTGTGGAAAACCACTTTGTAGTCAAAGATGTTGTAACTGCTTTTGAATCTGCTTTCACAACAGAGAAGTTCACCCAGAGTCCAATAAGTACAATTAGAACTTCCATTTTATCAGAGATCACCTGAAGAAAAATGAGGACTTTTATATTATAAACTATAATTTCATATAGAACAACATACTGCTAACTATAAACTGGAAGCGCCAGATTCCAGAGTTTGAAGTTATTTACAAGAGATTGGATATTAGGGAAACTAAGTATGACTCAGGCATAACCTAAGTTGTGGAAGCCCCCTCCTCTCATTTCTCCCCATGATATGCCAGGAAAAGCAGAGTGAGACCTTCTGCTTTCACTTTTAAGTGAGTCACAGCCTTCCACATAAGACAGTGATCAGGACCTGTGACCCTTCAGCTTCAGCCATTCTTTTTAATGGGCAGAGAGGAATACAGTTGTAGTCCACCTCTTCTTTGAGGCTACAGATTCCCAACCCCTGAAATATAAAGTCAAGGAGTCATAGACAGATTAGATAACAAACCAGAAACATCAATATGGTAGTCACATGAGCTTTGTTTCTTCTTCTTTTAACTAGGTAGAGAAGCCTTCTCTGTGCTCTGCAGCGGTCTCATTATCCTCAGGCAGCATAGCCACGTCTGATGAGGAAGCATGTAGTCCGACCAACTGGAGAGCTCTAATTTGGAGAAAGCTCCACTAGAGTTAGGGAAGCTACAGGTATCCAAGTTAGTATGTAACAAGGCGTACAAAGTGCAGCCCTCCAGTTGTTCCTGGACAGCAGCTCCTGGCATTTCTCATTATCAGCTATGCTGAGTAGGACTGTTGCAGCCCAGCAGCATCTGGAGGATTGCTCTTTGCTCGCCCGGGTATACAGCATGGAAGTGTGATTCAGCCAAATATGAAAAGCAGGAACTTTCACCTTCCTCCTTTGTCATGAGGAGAAATAACATGGAGGAGAAACACATAACACAGACACACCCAGCAACTTATTCACAACCACCCAAATTAGGGATGGAGAACTGTAGCTCTCCACTCAATGGTGAGGACAGATGTGAGTTGCAATCTATTAACATTTTGAGGGCCACAGTGTCCACATCTGATTTAAATTACAGTATGGCTTACAGATCAAGGTGGAGAATACTGTATGTGTCCCTCTAGGTGTTGTTGGACTGCAACTTCTATCAGCTCTGGGCAGTCAACAGTAAGGAATGCTGGAACACTACATTTGGAGGGATGCACTTTGCCCACCCTTTTAATTACTGTATATGAATACATGACTTCGGTAGAAAATAATTTGTCTTTAACCATTATGCATATGTATTATTGACAACTGATGCTAACAGAGAGGACCAATGATCCTCATTCACTTTCAGTGTTGCCATCACTTCCCTGAGAAATCCTAATTTCAGGAAATTGAAGCAAACTAACCAGTGACCAGCAAGATCTGTCTTCTCTTTCCTACCAACAGCCTACCATAAAACAGATTTAATCCTGGAAGACTGACCAAACCAAACTGAGCTTGACACTGCCAGTTATGTTGCCTCCCCCCCTTCTCTCAATTGTTTCTCCTACCCCCCCGCCCCATCTATTGAATGCCTTGATATTCACAATGCTGGAACTAATGCTATAAGAATTCCTGAACAATTCATTAGGTTGAAGAATGTAGCTGTTTAGCAAGTATTGTTGTACTTTCTGCTATCACAGAAACAGTAGAGGCGGGAAAAGTTTTTTTAACTTAATCTAGCCTATATGTTCTTACAGGCATTTGATGGCCTTTTGAATAACTTAATTTTCAAACACATGTTTATACTAATTTATACATTATGGCACTCACTATACACTGCAAAATAATATAAATTGTACATGGCTGACATTGTACAAAGGCAATATGCACATGCATAGTAAAATTGTAACTTTGTGAGCTCCAAAGCTGCCACAAAGTAGTAAAACTGAAGCTTCAGATAACTGAATTCTCTTCAAGATGTAATGAAATCTCCCTTACTTGCCTCCATATTGGAAAAATAAAAAAGTAGCACTGTAGACATTACATAAGAAGCTTAGGTTGAGTGAAGTTAGTAGCTCTGCTGGGCCATTATCAACTGATCTGACTAGCACAATTCTCCAAAATTTTGGCCAGAAGGAGCAAAGACTTTCTCCAAGACAGCTTGTTGTTTTTAACTAGTCCCTTGGCCCTCAACAAAATATATCGTCCTAGACACAGTTCAATGTATAATCAGTACAGTAGTAAAAAATTTATTGTACATACTCATGGGACTCCACATCCAGATATGGACACAGACTACAGTTTCAAAACAGCTGACACTTAGCAACAAGCCCAAGAGTTCTGGGGCACTTTTAAAGACGAAAATGATTATTGTACCATAAAGAGCACTTAGAGACCCCCGACTTCCCTGCATACCCCCTTCCAGGAAACTCTGCTCATAAAATTGCTACGGTCAAACTTATTTCCGTCCTGCAACTTGAAACATGAGAACCATCGGCACAAGATCACAAAAAATTGAGAACTTTGGCAGGCATGGAATCAGATCTGGACTAGGCAGCAATTTCCCCATTAGCACCACCCTGACCATCCAAAATCCCCGCACTCAAGAATTTCGGAGAACCCTCCCGCCTCTCCCACGCGTCCCAGGAGAACCGTCAAGACAGGAAAACCGGCATCGCTCGACGGAGAAAAGGCAACCCGCTCACCATTCCGCCCGGTTTCCGCGCTTGCGGCTGCACAGGATGCGAAGCCGCCGGCACTACCTCGGGAAAGAGCCGCCTCTTCAGCCCGAGCTACCGCCGTGAATTATTACACCTGTAAGGTACCGCCACGCTCCTTTCCTGCTTCTGCCGCTTCGGCTCCCTCGGTTTCCTGACAGCTCGCTTCCGCTTCCGGCTCGTTGCCGGCTCCCAAGGAGAGCGGCTGCCTTCGAGAGGCAGCATAGAGACGACGCCTTCTCGCTGAAGAGAGCGAGTCCTACGGCGCCATCTTGGTTGAGGGCAGCCCTCTCCCCACACCCCCGCCTGTAGTCCAAATGTCCGCGAAGGGCGCTGTTTCATCCCACCCCCCGGCCATAAGCAAGCGGAACCCGAAACAGGAGGCAGCATCGACTGATGAGCTCGTTTTCTCTTTCTGCATTTTTAACTGCCCGCCATGGAAAGGAACCTTCTGTCTTTTCCGCCACGGTTTATGAGAGAGAAAACATCGTCAGCTACATTGGACAGAAGAATTTTTGTTTGCTGCTTTTTCTGTGCTGCAGCATAAAGGAACTTGCTCCGTTTGCGCTTGTTTTCTCACGCTTCCGTTTCGAATTTATGAACTGAGAAAGATGTTGAGACTGTGGTATTGAATCAACACATTACCTAGTAAGAAGCGGGTTCAGTACCCGTCACAATCTCGCTCTTCCTCCAAGAAATTTCAAAATATAAAAACATACGAGTGTCCTCCTTCCCTTACCACAATCTTGTGACACGCACGTATTAAAAAAGCTAGCCGTACGATATGCGAACAGAAACAAAGCTATGAGTTGAATACATTACTATACTACCTTTATTGGGAAACTACAATCTTACAAAGAAGGCGATCTTTTGAGTTCTCTGTATTTCTTCAGGTTTAGATGGTATAAAATTTCCGGTACTTCTGCGGTTAGGCTGAGACCAATTGCTTCATCCAGCAAGCTTGATACCTTAACAGGTCTTTGAATCAAGGTCTCCCCAGTCCCGCAACACGCGGACCTGCAAGACATCATCCACGTCCCCTGAGAAGTCACATTTGAACTCCTGAGGGCGACTGCCTTCCATAGGACAGCCCCGAGGAAACGCTTTACAGCCAGGGCTAGGTTACGTCCCATGTGGTTGTTTTGTTTCTGCAAAGCCCATTCCTAATCAGTGAACGAGATGCGGCTGAGCAGGTGATCTACAGCTCGGAGCAAAAAGTAACTTATACGCGAAGGACAACCAGGCAAGAGTCGGAGCAAGAACAAACGTGGGATCGGGAAAGTACAACCCCGCGGGACTGACCAATGGATAGCCCTGATTTTCCCCCCTTGTATTAGTCACAGTTTGGAAGACGAAGAGGGTTTCATGGGTTAAAACAAATCCAGTAGGTTACGAAACGTTTTGATGTGATTGTTGACAGCTCCCAGGCGGCTTTCCCGCCATCTCGCCCCAAACTGGGAGGACTCGTTCTCCCTCCCGAAGCCATTTGCTCAAGCGCTCTAAAGAAAGCCACCCAATCGCCAGCCAGGTAGGCGGAGAAAAGTCGCGAGCGTTCCGCCTCTTTCCACACGACCAATAGCGTCGCTTCTGCTTCCCCGCCACATCTCGCGACATTCGCCTCAGGCGACGCTTCACTCCCGAACTACAACTCCCAGGAGCCTCTCCTCAAGCACCGCCGAAGCCAATCGCCAGGCGGCTTGAGGAGAAAGTATCGCCACAGTGGGCAGGACCATCCGAGACCCAATCAATCTGAAGTGGGGAGGGCTGCTCGGTTGCGGCAGCGGAAGCAACACTCCCGGACTGAACCCCTTTCTCCCTGTCAGCGCAAGAAACGGCTCTGGCGGTTATCCTGCGGGACTCCGCCGCACCCTCGGCTGCAGGTAACTCGGTGGTAGGAAAGCCCTCGTTCCGCGGACCTGGGCTCCACGGAGAGCCCTCCCTCCTGCGAGCCAGGCGACCGCGGGGGCTGTCCCGAGCGAAACCGCTCAGGCTCCTTTGCTGGTTACGGCAAGGAGGGAAGTTCGGGGCGTTCGCAGCACCTTTTTTATTCTGGCTGAACATCCGGGTCCCCGGCCCTGCGCGTCTGTTTCACATAGTGATCAGGGAGGGAAGGGAGGCGGGTCCGTCTACTCCTTGATTAGCCATTGCCTGTTTCCCCATTGGTGGCCAGCGGCCTCTTAGGCAGGCTATCCTATTGGTTGGCTCGTCGAGTTGTATTCTGTCTGCGATTGGCCCGTCGTGAAAGAGGATCCCTCTCAATTTGTTGGTTAGACAGGGGGCTGGCCTTAAGAAGAAGCCTGTGGGCGTTGCTGAGGGCGATTGAGAAGAGTAGTACTGTACCTTTTCCCCGGAGCGGGCGAAAGGGGAGGCGCCGAGGGAGACGCCCCTGCTTGGCGGGTGCCCGTGCTTGCTTGCTGCCTCGTGCTCGTCCTTCGCTTTCCCGTCGAGATTCCACCTCGGAAGCCACCCGATGCCTCGGGAGCAAAATGTTGGCAGCTGCTTTGTGGCTGGGATTGGGTCGGTGCCGCCAGCGGACACACAGACACACAAAACTCTACCTCTGCATCTCCCGGTAACTCCTTTCACCCTTAGAGGAGTTGCGGAGATACGGCCACAGTTAGATTCCTGTATGTAAAGGATCGTCGTGCAGGGGAGCTGCTCCTGCAGGGCAGGGTTGCTTGCTCGCAGATTTCTCTGGATTTCACGGCTGCGGCTAGTTGTTCGAGCGTTCCCCTGCTGCATAACGATCTCAAGCGAAATGGATTCGGCTGCCGACTGTGTAATAGAAGAGCCGGGAAAAAAATCAAAATTAATCTGCCTTGATTTTAAGTTAGCATCATCACAGTATAAAGTGGTGTTTGAAGATTTTGCCAATAAATGCAGAGAATGCAGGGGAAATAAGCTCAGAGTGATCGTATAGACCAGATGGGCGGGATATAAATAAATAAATAAATAAATGCTAGGTTGGAAACATGTAAAATAAATGCACCTTTGCATTTGGAACATGTGGCAAAATAAATAAATAAATAAATGCTAGGTTGTAAACATGTAAAATAAATGCACCATTGCATTTGGAACATGTGGCATTTGGAACTGTTGGACTGTGGTTCCTGGCAGCCTTATGCATTGAATTCCTTTCTTTGGAGAATGATACATATTTTTTTAAAAAAAGGTGGACTCTTCATAATTTTGGAGTGCATGCACTCCACCCCTGGCCAGTGTAATTGCTGTCAGGGTAGCTCAGTCGGGCAGTAATATCGTACAAAGGTTAATGTCCTGGGACACACTGGGTTACTTTAATAAGGACCCATACTGGGTTGTGAAGAAGTCTAGTCCAGGACACTGTTGTACTGTACCTCGTCCAACTATGCCAATGCACAATTGCAACTTTATTATTGGTATGGCAGAAGCTATTAGCGCTGCTGTTGAATACTCTGCCCCAGTTCAGCTGTGCTTCATTTATACTGCATATGTAGCTTCTTTAGGAAAAAGGACAGGATAAAGTAGGATTAGTTAAGAAGGGTGGAGTGCTGCTGTCATTGTGCAAGAGAGTCAAAATGCTTAGATTTACCACAAAGTAATTCTTGTTTTAAAAGCATTTGAATCCTTAACTGATGGGAATATAATGTACTTGTGGAAAGTACGGTATAAAAAACTTGATTATGATTATGTGGAAGCATGTCCTATATGCCCAATAAGATATAAAGCTGTATGATCATGATACAAATGTATACTTGTGCTACAACAGTTAGCCTCAGAAGCTGCTGTGAATTCAGAATGAAGTACGGGGCAGTTTGTGTATCTCTTACACAGATCCAAATACTGTGTCTTCAGTGCATTTTCTCAGTGCTAGAGATCAATTCAGACCGATTTTAGATCTAATAATCCTAAATTTTCTGTTAATCCATCAAGCATACAGTTACTTTCTTCATTTTTGGAGCAAGCCAATTCAATGTATTCTTGAAGGCTTTCACAGCTGGGGTCCAATGGTTAATGTGGGTTTTCCAGTCTGTTTGGCCGAATTCTTAAGTTTTTTCCCCCTAACATTTCACCAGTCTCTATGACCTTCATCTTCAGAGGATAGGAGTCAGAACTCTGTCTGTGCTGTGGTGCAGTTTTGTGGGATAGTTGAGTATTTATAGCTGTGGGATCAGCTTTTGCCCTTTTCAGGAGGTGTTTGATTATGGTGATCAGCATGTTTTTTGTTGTGAGTGTATTGTGATGAGTGGGAGAGATGATCTGTCACTATAATTGATGGATGTCGTTAGATGGTCTTTTGTGTGTAATGATGCCCGGTCCTTGTGGCTGGGTAGAGTTCGTTGACCTTTTGCAGGCTGTATTTTTTCTGCTGTTTGTGGATTTTTCCGGTTGAGTCAGAATCGAAGAACATGAGAGACACTGCAGACTAAAACAACCGGAAAAATTGGCAGCAGCTGAACATGCCCTAAAACAAACTGGACATGAAATTCTGTTTCCAAACACGGAAATACTGGACAACACCAGTGATCATTATGTTAGACTGCACAGGGAAGCCATTGAAATCCAACACCAGCAGAGCTTCAACAAAAAAGAAGAAAGTTAAAAACTCAACAAAGCCTGGCTCCCAGCACTGAAAAATACAGCTTGCAAAAGGTCAAGAAACTCTACCCAGCCACAAGTGATCATTGCACACAAAAGACCAGCTAAATCCATCAATCACAGTGACAGATCATCTCCCCCCACTTATCACAATACACCCACACACAAAAAAACATGCTGATCACCTTAATCACCAATCTCCTGAAAAGGACAAAAGCTGATCCCACAATTATAAATACTCAGCTATCCAACAAACTGCACCAGAGCACAGAGTTCTGACTCCTGTCCTCTGAAGGTGCCGGCCACAGAGGCTGGTGAAACGTTAGAAAGAAAAACCTTAAGAAAACGGCCAAATAGCCCGGAAAACCTACAACAACCAAGCAAATTCAGTTGCTCCTTGGAAAGGTTTGGATAAAATTCTGTTTGGCCTCTCTATTTGATTGAAATTGAGTTTGAATAAAAGAATTAAGCATAACAGAATCTGTTCTCTAGAGAAAACTAATCAATGCCCCCCCCCCATGAATAGATTTCCCCAGATCTCTGTAGGCTTAACCTCTGAAGAGACACTGCCTTCTTTTGTGTCCTTTCTGAGAAAGAGATTTTATGATGTACAACAGAAAGCCTTTTTCTTTCTATTATGTTCAAAGTAGCCCTCCAGCAGATGAGTATGCTAGAACAGAAAAGTGCTAGAATAGCCAAAGAGGATTATAACCATATCTAAAGTACCAGATTATGACATCCATAATCTCGTATCTTCGTGTGCTGATTATACAGTGTGTTTATTTCAGTCTTAGTACATGATTAAAAGCTTTTATTAGAAATCAGGAGAAAGTACTCGGTCACCAGCTGATGTTTCCTGATACTGCTAATGCTTCCATTGAAGATTTTGTTCAGTTTGTGACAAAAATCTCGATACATTTGTGGCTGAAAATCTTCTCTTATAAGGGAATAACTCATTTTGCAGAGTGGATTTATTTCTAAAAATGAATCTGAATGTACTGTATCTTTATTATGTGTCCTGTGTCTTTCACTGAATTTTTGGATCTAAAGTCTTCTACTCTGTTTTCCCACCATGTCTTCTGTCTTTTTTTTTCTCCCCCTCCCCTCTCTCTCTTTCTCTCCCAACTATGAAAAATCTTAAGGAGAAAAGAGTGGCTTTGAATTACTGGTGTAAAGAGGTTTCTGTTTCAAAATACCCTGAGAAAAATACCATTATATTTTGCTGTAAATGTTTTGCTGATTTGTTTGAGACCTTTTGCTTTGTCACTTTAACGTGACAGCCCATGTTATGTTCTGTTTTATATACTGCTGCATTTAGATATATACTTATTTTAAAGTGGTATTGAAATTTGTTGAGCAGTTAGGAAAACGAAAATAATTTGACCAGGATGCCTTATTAACAAGGAGTTTCAAAATTGTGATCATATGAGTTATTTTTTATTCTGTGTTTACTCTGCAGGTGGAGATGAGTTCTCAGCAGTTTCCCCGTTCTGGAGCACCTCCTACAAGTCTAGGACCAGCACCTCCAGCAATCTCCACCAGTGGCTCTACTGGCTTGATAAACCCAACAACTACAGGTAAGGCAGCTATTGATGTGTAGATATTCTACTAAACCTGCAATCCTAAGCATAGTTATCTGGAATTAAGTTGAAATCAAAACACAATACAGTGGTGCCTCACTTAATGGGTGCCCAGTTTAACGATGAAATAGCATATTGACGAACTTTTTGCAATCGCATTGCGATGTTTTAAATGGGGAAAAATTGCTTTACATTGATCGGTACCCTGTTTCACTTACCAATCATCGCAAAGCGATGATTTTTTAACAGCTCATCGGTGGTTCCAAAAAATGGGTAAAAAAAATGGCAGCCTGCTGTTTTCTGTGACGGATTCCTTGCTTACCAGGCAGTGAAAATGGCCGCCATATGGAGGATTTTCACTTAAAGGTGAGTCCGAAACCCATAAGAACGCATTGAAGGGGTTTCAATGCATTCCTATGGGCTTTTTAATATTGCATAGCGATGAAATCGCTTTGCAGCGATTTTTGCTGCACCGATTATCATCGCTATGCGAGGCACCACTGTATTTGAATGCCCTACTCAGTTTTAGCATTTCCTTTCCAAAATGTTATCTCTTTTTCTCTCTTCAGTAGTGAGTGATGAGCCCAACCGAGAATTGGAAGTTGCTCCTCGAGATCACGTGGTTCCTAGTAGCTCTCTGCAATCTCGTGAAGAGAAGCAGGAAACAGTGGTAGTTCGGCCATATCCGCAGGTGCAGATGTTGACTCAACACCATACCGTGCAGTCTGCTGGTGTACCTGTTACAGTGGCAGCTCCACCGGCACATCTGACTCCTGCAGTGCCACTTTCTTTTTCTGAAGGACTCATGAAGGTAACTAGGACTGACATTCCATACTGGAAATCAAAACAAATTTGTTATATTTGTTTAACACAGTCAACAGTAGTGAAGTTTGATTGTCCCAAGCTTTAGTTTCTAATTGTTTACTTGTTTGGTATAGTTGTATACTTCATGGTGCAGTGGTTAAATTGCAGTACTGCTGTCAAGTCGCTGTTCATGACCTGAGTTTAATCATGTTGAATTAAGTTAGCCAGCTCAAAGTTAACTCAACTTTCCATCCTTCTGAGGTCGGTAAAATGAGTACCCAGCTCACTGGGGGGCAAACTGTTGTTTGCATGATTATGTAGTAAACCACCCACAGAGGGCTTTAATACTATGGGGTGGTTTATAAGTCAAAACAACTAAATACTCTGTAAATGTTCTTTAGTATTATTGCAGCTGTGCCGACTTATGCAGTGGACCTTTTTGCGCAGTCAGAGGTCTCCTTGGAGATAATTCCCCAGCACATAAGATCAACTTTATAGGTAATAACCAGGACTTTGAGTTAGGCCTGGAAATGAACTGGTAGCCAGTACGATGTCGTAAGCAGAGGCATTATATGCTCTCAGTAATTACTAAGAACTGTTTTAAGGAGATTAATAATAGTTCATTTGTTCAGATATTTTGATGGTAATTCCCCACAACCCACAATATTAAAGCTTCCTATGCTAGCTATTCTTTCTGTATAAGAAAGCAATACTGTTTACGAAGGCTCATATCTCCAGTATTCCTTTGTTGAGGATCTATATTCACAGAGAAATGCAAAATATTTCAGTTACTTTGGCAGTGGTTTGTAGCTTTTCTACAGAATTAGTTCCTCTTTTTAAGGTAGTAGGATTGTTCCATATTTGTTTTGTTTCTATTTACAATTGTATGTTTATGTCCCTTGCAGCCTCCCCTGAAGCCCACGATACCCAGCCGTCCTATTGCACCAGCACCACCTTCTACTCTGTCTGGTCCATCCAAAGTCCCTGGGCAGGTTACTGTAACAATGGAAAGTAGCATCCCACAAGCATCGGCTATTCCTGTAGCAACAATCAGTGGACAACAGGTTACTATTGTCTTCATTAAAATGAAATGTTCCCTTATTTAGATATGGAAAGAAAAGGGGGGAATCTATGAACCATTTGGTCTTGAAATTTACCCTCAGCTTTTGTTTGTTATTATAGTAAGGGGTATGGTCATGTGTCATCAGGCAAATTCTGACTTATGACAATGCTTCTGGAGTTGTCTAGGTAAAGGGTATTCAAAAGTGATGTGCCATTCCCTTTTTCTGGGAGTATTTTGGGACTGTGCAGCCTGCCCAAGGCCAACACAGGCTGGCTCTCCTCGCAGGAAGCACAGTGGGGAATCAAACTCCCAACGTCTGACTCCACAGTCACATACCTAAATCACTGAGCTGTCCATCCAGCCATACCCTACTAATCAGCATAATTAACCTTCATGTCTGTCTTCACACATGTTCGCTGTAGCCTGTAGTTGTGTACGAAACTTTCCTTCTATAGTATGTCTTGAAAAGCCTAAATCGTGTAATATTTCTTGTCTGCAGGGACATCCCAGCAATGTGCACCATATCATGACAACCAATGTTCAGATGTCAATAATCCGCAGTAGTGCTCCTGGGCCACCGTTACATATTGGAGCTTCTCATTTGCCTCGTGGTACTATATGTAATTATAATTTCTTGGGAGTAATGGACAAATTTCTGGAATATGATCAAATGCTGCTTTCTGCTGTGAATAAATAAAAAAGATTGGAATGGAATGTGGAGTGACTCCTACTTTTATCTGTGATCCTTTGAGAAAGATATAGATTGGCTTACAGTATGGTGCCGTAACCCTAGAAACAGCACTGTGCTTTAAGATACGCTGTAGATTGCACATTTCTTCCAGCCCCTTATCTTATGGACAAATCCATTAGCCTTAACTGATTTATATCAGTACCAATGTCAACTTCAGCTATGGCTAATAACATTCTCTGTTGGCTAGGCTTCGCAGGCTGGTTTCAGTTCCTGTTCAAAGGCTTTGTATTAATGTGGATAATGTCAGCGCCATTGTAACCCTAAACTGCATTTAAAGCTGGCAGGGGGAAATTCATTCTGAAAGGAGAGGCTGTGAAGAGGGGATATACAATTTCACAGTCTACTCTTAATTGTTTAGCTATGGTAGAAGCAATGGGGAGCCGTGCAGCAGCCTTCTTGATGCTATCCTGTGATCTCTTCTTTCAAATAAGTGGCTGGATTTAGTTAGCACTACAAAAAGCTCTGCTTAATTCTTTGATTTGATTCCAGCTAGAAATACAAGTTATAGCCACTCTCACATATTATAAAAGCTAACATTTATTTTTTTAAAATCTTGGTTACAAGCACACCTTGTTCTTTCCTCAGGTGCAGCTGCTGCTGCTGTGATGTCCAGTTCCAAAGTAACAACAGTTCTGAGGCCAGCTTCGCAGTTGCCAAATGCAGCAACAGCTCAACCGGCAGTTCAGCACATCATTCATCAACCTATCCAGGCAAGTGACTGCTATGCCATATTGCAGGTTCAAAGTTCTGTTGGCCCTTTCAGTGGGCCCATTCTGCAAGAGGCACATCTCAAGGTTCAGGAAAAAATAGGAAAAAAGAAAAAGGCCATGTGGTCCTTAAAATAATACTAATGCAAGAGCAGATGATACCTTTATTAGAGTACTAAAAAGAAGCTAGCTTTCAATGATAATCCATCTTCCTCAGGCTAGGCACTAAGATTTTATGGATAGCTCAGAAATATATGCGGAGAGAACGTACATGAGAGTCTCAAATTCATGACAGATGACTTTGCCAGGTCTCATCCTAGTTCAAATGATGGTTGCTGGGAGGAAAATTCCAGCCAAATGCTATCTGGAGTGGAGTTTGAAACCACACAACCCCAAAAGCCATTTGCAGCCAATGTTGGCACACTAATTTGCTATGAATTCTTGGGACTCCCATATATATATCTTCTGAGTTATCTGCAAAAACTTGCTGCACAGTCTGAGGAAGATGGATTACCCTTGAAAGTTAGCTGCTTGTTTGAATTTTTAGTGGTCTAATAAAGATGTCACTTGCTCTTATGTCTCAAGGTGTTATAGAGTGATATTTATCACTAAAATACCAAGTGCCCAGTATCCTGCAATATATAGGTTTTATATATTTATCTAAAATAATTATTAGCCACTGTATTAATAAATATTACACTGCAGCATCTTGAGTTGTATCTGTCCTGCAAGTGGATTCTGTTTCAATCCTGTCCAGTTTTTGTATTTTCCCTTTCATTGAGGAGCCACTCCGAAGCTTCCATGGAGAAATGAACTGCAAAAATGAGTGGCTGTTTCTTGCAGATCAAGATTGTTCAGCATTGTGGACTTAATTTTGGAGATACAACAAGAGCAAACTATAACATAGTTAACCTTGGAGTGAATTTGAGATTAATTTTCCTGATTAAGAGCTTTCTGTTTTATTTAATATCCTCTGTGTTGCCTGTGGTTGATTACTAATTTTTATTTATTGGTACCCTGTTTCCCCAAAAATAGGACCTAACCTGAAAATAAGCCCTAGTATGATTTTTCAGGATGCTCGTAATATAAGCCCTACCCCCAAAATAAGCCCCTATTAAGTGAAACCCCACCCTCCACCATTTTGCAGCAACCAGAAGAAGATGACATGACTGTATTTGAATATACGTAGAATGTTGTACATGAAAAAAATTAAACATCCCCTGAAAATAAGCCCTAATGCTTTTTTGGGAGCAAAAATTAATATAATACCCTGTCTTATTTTTGGGGAAACACGGTATGTAAAATGCTTCCCAGGAATTGTAGGATTTTTTTCTTTGCAAATATGATCCATATATTCTGGCAGTGATAAATGAACAGACATAATGAGAAACCCTTTGTAACAAAGCGGTACAATGTATGATTTAAATTATATCAACTAGTCTTTTTAAATTCAGACAAATAATTTAAGTAAAAAAATGGATTGACAGAAAGCAATTTCAGTCCAAATAATTGTTAGTTACAAAATGATAAACATTTTGGACAGATAGCAGAGAAGTCACTCTTTCTTCCTTACATACAGTCCCGCCCCACTGTGACAACTTCAAGTACCATTCCTCCTGCTGTTGTAGCAACTGTCTCGGCAACAAGGGCTCAGTCACCTGTTATTACTACAACAACAACACATGCTACAGAATCTACGCTCAGGTAACTGCAATGCAATGTGGTCTTGTCTTTGTTGTTGTTTAGTCCTTAAATCGTGTCTGACTCTTCCTGACCATGGATCAGAGCACGCAAGGCCCTCTTGTCCTCCACTGCCTCCCGGAGTTTGGAAAAATTCATGTTGGTAGCTTCGATGACACTGCCCAGCCATTTCATCCTCTTGCCTTCTCCTCTTGCCTTCACACTTTACCAACATCAGAGTCTTTTCCAGGGAGTCTTCTCGTCTTGTCTAGCTGAATATATACTCGCTGAAAATGCATTCCTGTATGTTTTTGTTTGGAATTAAGTCCCATTGTGTTCAGTGGACTTATTTCCTAAGAAGTGTGCTTCAGATTACAGTTTTAAAATATAAAAAGGTATACATAGGTATTGTAATAAGAGTACCATTTTGCACAAGATGTCATGTGTAAGCTTTTTCAGTCCCTCCAAGCAGTGAAGCATTCTCTGTGGCACAACTTGCTGTACATATCAGCTGAGTAATTTTTATATTGTGTTCACCCACCAGGAGAATATCTTCCTTTGCTGCTGTTCTATTAATTAATGTACCACAGAACAAGAAAACCATGCCAAAATATTAAGGTTTAATGTTTCCTTGGTGTTAGGAATTCAGTGATCCTTAAGTACTTCCAGTAAAGTAACCTCTGATTTTCTTTTTCAGTCGGCCAACTTTGTCCATTCAGCAGCACCCACCATCTGCACCTATCAGTATTCAACGTCCTGCACAGCCCCGGGATACAGCAACCAGAATCACTCTCCCTTCCCATCCAGCCATTGGAACACAAAAACAGCAGCTCCACACCATGGCTCAGGTGAATCATTATTAAAAAAATAGAAACTTTTTTTCCATATTGTTTTCTGACTCTTGGCTGTCATATTGCATTTTAAAGTTTGTTTAAATATTGAGTAGTATATCACAGTGGGCTGGTAGCTTTGATTAACTTCATTCCAAATGTGTCTACCACAAAATTGAAGGTCACTAACATGAACGTGTCACAAACTATTTATTGACATATAACATTTTTTTCTACAGAAAACAATTTTTAGTACTGGTACTCCAGTGGCGGCAGCAACTGTAGCCCCTATTTTAGCAACCAATACCATTCCTTCAGCAACTACATCTGGTAAGTATGTACAGCTCAGCATTTCTTGTAATAGGTAAAGGTAAAGGTTCCCCTTGACATTTAGTCCAGTCATGTCCGACTCTAAGGGGCGGTGCTCATTCCCATTTCCAAGCCAGCGTTTGTCCGAAGACACTTTCTGTGGTCACTTGGCCAGTGTGATTAGATACGGAAGGCTGTTATCTTCCCCCTATTTATCTACTTGCATTTTTACATGCTTTCAAACTGCTAGGTTGGCAGGAGCTGGGACAAGCGACGGGAGCTCACTCCGTCGCATGGATTCAATCTTGCAACTGCTGGTCTTCCGACCTTGCAGCACAGAGGCTTCTGCGGTTTAACCCACAGTGCCACCACGTCCCTATTTCTTGTAATACCTTTGTCTAAATAGAAATAATCCAATTATGAGGGTCGAAATACCCTCCTTGAACAAGCAAGGAAGTCTTTTGTCTCAAAATTGCTGACTGGTACAATAAACTCCTCACACACTGACCTTATTGTACTACTTCAGAGGTTACCAGTATTATACCAGTTACTGCATGGAGAGGATGGGTAAGCTTGTTGGGAGCCTAGCCTCTTTCGATCAGAAGAGGATGATGTTTTCGTGCTTTGAAGCTTCTCTTTGAGATCTACATTTTCTTGTGGTTTAAAGATAGGTACTGAAAAGTAAATAGCATATGCATCTTTTCCTCTTTCAGGTTCTGTGTCTCACACTCAAGCGCCTACAAGCACCATTGTCACTGTGACTATGCCCTCGCACTCTTCTCATGCGACTGCTGTGACCACTTCAAACATCCCAGTTGGTGAGAGTGCTGTTCTAAACTATGCTATCATTTGATCTGTCGTTTTTGGGGAGGAAGAGCTGGGGACTGAATGCATGGTGTACACCTTACCATGTTTTTATATCCTTCAAAACACCTCTGTTTCCCACATCCAAATTGCTATGGACTGCACTTTCTGTGGAAGGAAATAATACAGAGGGATTCAGGTTCTTGACCCTTTTTTTGCATAGTCCTTTATTTCTTAGTGAGTAAGCGAATAACTTGGGACATTTGTTCTCCCTGTACAGCAAAAGTGGTCCCTCAGCAAATCACACACACTTCTCCTCGCATCCAGTCCGATTACACTGCAGAAAGGAGTAATCTCATTCCTATATCAGGTCACCGCGCATCTCCAAATCCAGTTGCAATGGAAGCTAGAAATGATAATAGGTAATTAAATTAATTCACTTGAACAAGATGAGTACTTCACAGTCTTCACTACATGATGTTTATGTGTATATATAAGTACAGAAGCATTAATTAAGTAGAATTGTTTGGGTTCCTGTTAATCTGTCTAAAGCAAGTTAGATTTTCCCTATTTCTATTGAGAAACCTTTGTGACTCAGTAATAGTGGGTCTTTTTAGATAAAAGGTAATTGAGACTCAGTACATATTCCCTGTGAGTTACGGGCAGAGGATACATTAAATTATGTTGTTCATATTGTGAGAATTGAGGGAAACTGAATGTAGGAAAAACAGTGTGTGAAATGTTACTTCCTTGTTTTTTATTCTATACATGATTGTGCTCAGAAGGACAGAGTGAAGAGAAAAGGGCTGCATTGCTGCACAAGTGTTAGATATATACAGTGGTGCCTCGCTTAATGGGTGCTCCGTTTAACGAACAATCCACATAGCGACGAAGATTTTGCGATCGCAAAAGCAATTGCAAAACGATGTTTTCAATGGGGGAAAATCGCTTTGCGATTTTCCCCCTACGCCCCATTTTCGCGCAGCTGTGTTTGATTGATTCTACTTTTATGTGGTGCCACATAATTATGTGGAAGTTTGCTCCTGTGTTTTGCTTACGGTGATGTATGAATGTAGGCACCAGTCCTTTTCTGGTTTGTATTGTAAGAGAAAGAAAAAAGAGCACCCACAGTGGATGATGCATTTAAGCAAACCAGAGAGCACTGCTTCCTGAGCAGTGTGCACCACCAAATTGCTTGTAGCTCAGGTCTTGTTGAACAGCAGTTATTATTGTTCCCCACTGTTACGTAGTTTTGCTGGCTAGAACTGTTTGGTGTTGTAGGGCAAAACTCCTGGAGATAACAGCAGTTATTATTGTTCCCCACTGTTAGTTTTGCTGGCTAGAACTGCTTGGTGTTGTAGGGCAAAACTCCTGGAGGGCCACAATTGCCCACTCCTGATGTACCTAATAAACCAGAGTTCCCATATATCCCTGGTTTACTTTGTTCATACTGGCCCTGTGTAGTAGTATTGACAGTGTGCAAGCCTAGAAACTTCTTCCACATCACCCCAAGTTTACACTTGTATTGTTGTAATGTAACAGAAACTGAGGTTGAATTCAGAAATGGCTTTCCAAGGTAAGAAAACTTGGTGGCCCACACAGGAACTACTAAACCAGAATAGTAGTTTGGATTACAATAAAGCTTAATAATTTTGATATGTGGTTATAAATGTAATACTGTATCTTACACTCAATCAAACTTCATTCCTTTAGACAGTCAGTGCCTGTTCAATTCCAGTACTTCTTACCAACATATCCGCCTTCCTACCCTCTGGCTGCTCACACTTATACACCTATTACCAGCTCTGTGTCCACTATCCGCCAGTATCCAGGTAAGAAAGTGTTTTAATGAAGAAGTATGTATAGAGCTTGTGCTTAAAAAATGTTTTCTGAAATAAAGATGTAGCTTCATACTAATGTGGGCAGTTACAACCAAAATGCAATATTTTTAGGAACTTGTAACCAGTCTTCTTCATCATCATCTTTATTACAGATAGGAGTGAAGCAAATAGCTACATTATATTTCACAACTATTTTGGAAAACAGTTTCTCCATTTGTAATTGGAGAATACATAGACTGTACTATTTATAGCTAGCCAAGTCATCAGAATTCAGATACAGTGGTGCCTCGCATAGCGACGATAATCGGTGCAGTAAAAATCACTGCAAAGCGATTTTGTCACTATGCGATTTAAAAAAGCCCATAGGAATGCATTGAAACCCATTCAATGCATTCCTTTGGGCTTCAGACTCACCTTTAAACGAAAATCCTCCATACGGTGGCCATTTTCGCTGGCCGGTAAGCGAGGAATCCGTCCCAGAAAACAGCGGGCAGCAATTTTTTTAACCCGGTGGCCATTTTGGAACCGCCGGTCAGCTGTTAAAAAATCATCACTTTGCGATGATCGGTAAGCGAAACGGTACCAATCATCGCAAAGCGATTTTTCCCTATTTAAAACATTGCAATGCGATCGCAAAAGCGGTCGCAAAATCTTCATCGGTATGCGATTTCATCGTTAAACGGGGCACCCGTTAAGCAAGGCACCACAGTATGTGTTATTCATATGAAAAATAGTTCACATGCATCATTTCTGTAATCTGAGCAGTCGGAATCGCTTTTTCCTAATCTGCACATCAGACAGAAAAAATAGTGAGGATCCAAGAATGGCTATCTTCACATAAGTTACAAATGAGTTCTGTGTTTGTACATTCCCTTCTCTTGAATGCTGTTTTATTATGCTACCTTGTTAGAAACAGATTTTTTTTCTTTTTTTGTTTGCTCAAACTGGTATGTTGTGGCTAATCCAGGCACTCTAAACCAGGACTGCTATTTTGCATTCTAAGTGAACTAAACTCTAGTGGCTTGCCTTAGGCTACCCAGTTTGTAAAGACAGAGGTGAACTTTAAATTAATTCATGTTTTCAATTCCTTTATTACCCTGGTTTGTACAGTTAAATAATAATCATTTGTGAGATGCTTCATCTATTTGGAAAAGCTATTAACAGCTAGGCCCAAGCTGGGAAGTGGGAATATGTTTTGTTTGGGTTGGTCATGTTGGAGTAGGTTCTTTCTCTGTCCACACCCATGGGTATTGTGATAAAGCTACTGTATTTTTCACTCTATAAGACACACTTTTCCACCCCAAAAAAGTGGGGGGAAAGTGTCTGCATCTTATGGAGCGAATACTGTAAAACAGCGCTCCCCAGGGCCCAGCGGGGGGATGGTGGGGGGAGCCTTGGAAGGGTCCAAGAGTGCCTTCCAGGACCCCTCGGGGGCTCCACCCACCCACCAGCGCGGGGCCAGCTAGGGCGAAATCGCGACCTTCCAGGACCCTTCGGAGGCTTTCCAAGCCTCAGAACGGTCCTGGAAGCTGCCGATTTCACCCCCACTGGCCCTGTGGGGGGTGGGGGAGCCTCCGAAGGGTCCTGGAAGGCACTCTCGGACCCTTTGGAGGCTCCCCCCACCCCCAGCGGGCTGAAATTGCCAGAATATTTTTTTCCTGTTTTCTTTGCCTAAAAATGAAGTGCGTCTTATGGAGAAGTGCATCTTATGGAGCGAAAAATATGGTATTTTAACAATGTGAAATTACCACGGTTACCATAAAAATCTACAACTGGAAGGGCCAATTTGTGAGTCTTATTTAAAACCACAAGTGTACAAGTAAAACAAGTCAATTTTAAATGTAAACTCTCGTCAATATTGTTTGGCAATACAAAGTGATAAACAATCTTTTTTAAATATGGAAATAATTATACTGCTCTAGTTTCAGCTCAGGCCCCCAATTCTGCCATAGCAGCTCAGACAGGAGTTGGAGTAGCCTCCACAGTCCATCTTAATCCGATGCAGCTGATGACAGTGGATGCACCTCATGCCCGTCATATTCAGGGCATTCAGTCTGCACCAATCGGTGCACAGGGTATACAACCAGCACCCATCAGTGCACAAGGAATACAGTCTGCACCCATTGGAACCCAAGGCCTGCATCCAGCTGCACCAATTGGCACACAAGGTCTTCAGACTGCACCATTGGCTGCTCAGCAGCCACCAACTGAGACCAAGACATCAGGTATTCATTTGTTCTGTTTACAGTATTTATATACTACTCATGATTCAGTATTTTTAATTAGTTTCTCATAAGAATTAAGTCAGTAGTATAAAACCAGGAAAAGCAAAAAGTAAGGCATTGAGAAGAAACATTTATGTGAAGAATTTGTAAAGTACTAAAACATGTTAATCCTGAAAAGTCCAGGAAAATATAAAAGCATATATTCCTGGAAGAGCCATACTTCAGATGCCAGGTGAGCTTCTTTCTTAGAGACTGTCCGCCATTGGGACAACTGGAAAGGCCTTCTCTAATAGAAATCCCCCATACCTCATTGGATGGGGGCGGGGATACCTGGAAAAATCCCAGTCAATAATGTCTGGATTGCATCTTGTATTCCTCTTTGATTTGATTTTTAAAATACTGTGTTTGTAGCTGCAGAAATGAAACACACATACGGTAGTATTCCATTGTCAATAGCGAAAAATATCTTGTTCTTTCTATGTCCAAATTAAACACACAGTAGCCAGCATAAATGTTTAATTATTAAAACTTAGAGCACCCTTTAAGCCAAGGATGGCCAACTGTGCCTTTCCAGTTGTTTTTCACCTATAAGCTTGCATCAGGTCCAGCCAGCATTGCAACTGTGAGAGATTATGAGTATTTGTGGTGCAAGTGTAAAAGGGGGCAATGGTCCCCACTACATTTTATTTTTAATGGAAACAGCTCTTGCTTTATCATGTAGAATTTACAGTAACACCATGTTTTCTTTTGACTTAGTGGTATTGGCAGATGGAGCCACCATTATGGCCAGTCCAATCAGCAATACATTTAACACTGCCCCAGCTTCAACTACAGTGGTACAAACACATAGCCAGAGTTCTAGTTCTAGCACACCAGCACAGGGATCATCCCCTCGCCCAAGCATTCTCCGGAAGAAGCCCACAACAGATGTGTAAGTAAAATTACAGTGGCAAGAATAATAATTAGAATTACAATGGGGAAGAGTTCTGTTTACATCTGAAAGTACTAATTTGCCAGCATTTAGCTTGTCATTCTTGGGCACAACTAATGTTCTATGACTATTCTGTATATTATATTTATAGGTTGGCCGTTAGGAAGAATCTCATACCCCCGCAACCACCTGAGATAGCTGGAACTCGAGTAGAGAGCTCTGTGAGAAGCACATCTGGATCGCCAAGACCAGCCGGGTAAGATGCCATTATGCAGTGATGGATGAAAGATGCAAAGCTATTGGACTTTGAGATTTTCTCACACACACACAAAAAGAGTGAGCAGTGAAGAAACTGTTGGTTGTTCTCATAAGTTGGAAAATAGTGCAGCTACTGGGAAGGTAGCTGGTACATATGTACTTCTGGGTAAAAAATATTCACTGCTAGGTCTTTCCTCCTTATACAGTTGGAGGTTACATTTTCTCCAGCCTATCATGATATTGTATTCGCGAAGGCTTTCACGGCCGGGATCTAATGGTTGGTTGCTGTCCTCTGAAGATGCCGGCCACAGAGACTGGCAAAACGTTAGGAAGAACCACTTTCAGAACACGGCCAAGAAGCCCGAAAAACCCACAACAACCAACAACTATCATGATATTTCTGGCTTATACTTTTGACTCCCAAAGTAACTAGTTGTTTCTTACCCCTATTGCAGCAGGCTGTACGTGACAAAAAGCTGACTTGCAACAAAACGTTGCAGTGTAAAATACTTTCCTTTTGGATGTTAGCCAGCCCTGTCACTTTTCAGGATGCTACATTCCATTCCTTTTCAGTTTTCTGCCTGTGTCCACTAAGTATAGTCTTCTTTGAGTGATTTTGTCCCTTGAGGCTTTTCATCCCTTTAATGTCCCCGCCCCATTTCTTTTTGTTTCTATATACTCATGGGTTGCCGTGCTCCCATTCTCTCTTGACAATTGTGTCAATTGTGTCTAGTGCATGGACATTGTTGTTTTGGCTATGAAAAGTCTTCAGTGAGGGAATGAACCTGCTGCAAGTGTGGAAAATTAGGATGCGTAATGGGTGCATAATTTTTCACTAAAAGGTCTCTAGAGTGGCAATTAGAAAACCAAATCTGCATTTATAATAAGATGTGGATGAAGTAATGCTTTTTATTGATTCTGTTCGCAGAATTTTTGTACAAGATACTGTTTTTCTTTACTTCCTGTTAAGAAAATAAAGATTAGGACTATGGGACCATAAGAAAATCGCAAACTTTGAAGAAGGGGAAAGTTACCTACCATAAAGAATTCAAACACATTTAGATTTAGCTTTGCAACTGTAAGGCACGGTATCTTTCCATCTTTTGTATGAGATTACCAAGCTTTGAGGAAAACACACAAATCTGAGTTGGTGTCTGTGTTTTGTGATTTATTTTTATTTCTTTGATTTACATACTGCCCCATTAATGTGGTGCACTATTCAGGAGATCTTGTGGATATTCAGATTCTGGAGACACATCTTCAGTCTCCAAATGTGCTATAATTATATTCATCTTGAGCTTTGTTAGCATCGAAGGGAGAATGTCACCATTGGTCTTTCTGAGGTACTGACCACAACAGTTCCATAAAGTTACAGTAGTAATCTCTTAAGTAAGGCAATTTTTCTTTTTTCTTTCTTTTTTGTTTTTTATCTAGTGCCAAACCAAAACCAGAAATTCATGTATCAATGGCCACTCCAGTGACAGTGTCTGTGGAAGCAGTATCTATTCAGAGCAATGAGCAGCCTCCTATCTCAGTTCCGACGTCTCAGCAGCCTCCATCTGCCATTCCAACCATCATCACTGCAGCCAGTCCACCTTCACAGCCCACAGCAACCCTATCAACCATTCCAGGAACTGTGCCAGCTCCTCCACTCACTTCAGCCACAACTGTGACTGCTCCTCCCCCTCCCTCAACCATAAGTGGCGTCCTTTCTACAGTATTGGGTCCCGTTGTGCCAGAGATAAAAATAAAAGAAGAAGCAGAGCCTCTGGACATAATACGACCCGTCTCAGGTACTTTCTTGCTTATTAGTCACTCCTTTGTGACTGATACCTCTCTGATATCAGAATTGTTTGCAAAAGTGAGCTTGAGTGTCACCTTGAAAACAGCAGGTAACAATAAATAAGTCATGTTGTCTGCTTCATGTCTAAGCATCTCTTTTAAATGTTTTGATGTTTCATTCACTTCTGAGATTTACAATCCCGCAATGTGGTCACAGACCACTGAAATATAGAGTTAAAAAAAGAATGCAACAAGAGGATGGTTAGAATGGCTGTAGGAATATGCTGCTTTTGATGGCGGAGAGAAACAGTATTAAATTTTTGCTCTGTTTTGTAGAAAAGACAATGGTTGTGCACACAAACCCCTCATTCAATGTTTTCCCTTCTGAATGGAGTCTTTTTGTTTACAGGCAGATAGCTACTTTAAATTACTTTTGCTATAGCAGTTTTAGGATCAAAGAATAGCTGTCAGTTTCCTGGTGGTCTAGTATAAAAATATTGAAGTATAATGAGAACAATTGTTTGATCCTCTTCAAGTGAAAACAAAGCTATCAAAGGGCAGGTTGATTGGTTAGTTTGGCTGTGTTTTGTTTTTAGTGGAGGACCAAATTGTTATGGGGGAAATCAAGAGAGAAAGAAATATAGCTGGGAGCTTTAAGGTGCTTCAGAGGGAGGCCCCACAGAAATAGCGTGTTCTAAAGGGCTCCATTTTATATATGCTGTGCACAGGCAGGAGCCACATGTGGTAACACATAGAGCCTCTACAATTGTACTAGTTGCTAAAGAAAAGTGAAAGATTTAGAGCTATCTTCATATCTGTTGACAACCTCTTGACCGTGTCCTCCTTTTCCTTCTCAGCAGTTCCTCCACTGACTACAAATACTAGCTCTCCATCTCTTACGTTGTTGGCCAACAACCTTTCAGTTCCCCCAAGTGACCTGCCACCTGGTGCCTCCCCTAGGAAAAAACCACGGAAACAGCAGCACATCATCTCTACAGAAGAAGGGGATATGATGGAGACCAATAGCACTGATGATGAGAAATCCACTACCAAAAGTTTATTAGTAAAGGCAGAAAAGCGCAAGTCACCTCCAAAAGAATATATAGGTGATTTCTTCTTTTCTGAAATGCAGCCTTTCCTCTGCCCGGCTATCATTCTCACCACTCCATATCCAACCAAATCAAAATGCAGTAAGACTCGCATACCCACAGGATCAGTATCCATGATTTCAGTTATCTGCAGTATACCGCAGCCCTATATACAACATACAAGGGGGCAGGCCTTGTGGATTTTGTTCCGCGTCCTTGTATCTTGTATGATAGGGTTCACAGTTCCAGACATTCGCAATGGATCATGAAATGGATCCGAGTGGATATGGCGGTTCTACTATATTTTAACAAATTTTATTGCTTCTCAGCCTTTTGGCTGAGATCAGGTGTGTATTGTAATGCCAGCTAAATAATGAAGCCCAGCCAAAATGGTAAATTTATGATTTTCCTGCAGGTATATTCAAAACATTATAAAGCAGATTGATCTGAAAAAGTATTAATGTTGGACCCAATCCTTAGCTGATCCTTGTCAAAGCTGATACCCTCCAAGTGTATTGGGCTATCATTCCCAGCCACCTTACTCTGCTTCAAAATATGTTGCCCCTGTTCTGATAGGTGCACATTTGTCCTTCCTAGCTCAAATCACAAGCATCAAAAAGATGACTGAATCATTTTCTTAATTCTTTGTTAGATGAAGATGGTGTGAGGTATGTTCCTGTTCGGCCGAGACCACCCATAACATTGCTTCGTCACTATCGCAACCCATGGAAAGCTGCCTATCATCACTTTCAGCGATATAGTGATGTTAGGGTAAAAGGTATGCATTCTATTTTTAAATGTTTAATGGGACTGTGAACTGTTTTATGATATGCTAAAGACACTTAAGTAGTTGTTGTAGGTTTTTTTTCTCTGTTTGGCCATGTTCTGGAGGTTTTTCTTCCTGGTTTTGCCAGTCTCTGTGGCCGGCATCTTCAGAGGACAGGAGTTAGAACACAGACAGAGTTCTAACTCCTGTCCTCTGAAGATGCCGGCCACAGATACTGGCAAAACGTTAGGAAGAAAAACCTCCAGAACACGGCTAAACAGCCCAAAAAACCTACAACAACCGTCAGATGCTGGCTGTGAAAGCTTTCAAGAATACACTTAAGTAGCATATAATCTCCGATAAAGGATATGCAGCCTGTTGTCTAGAAGCATGTTTACCAGATAAAATGAATGCAAAGGGTGTATTGCAGAAGCTGTGACACACCAGTTTTCTGATTCTTCCTGGGGCACAATGATGCTTAATTTAATAGAAAGAACTTCATAGGCTTTTATGACAAAGTCATTCCTTGGTCCATCCAGAACCAGAATAAATTATCCCAAAAAGTGCATAGATTTTGAACTTTGCCATTATTCTTTTAGCACAAAAAATTCAGTTTTGGCATGCAGTTCCTGATTATAGGATATTACATTTATCAATACAGAGATTCCAAACAAAAAGCATTCCCCCACTGCAGCTCCATCACCTGACATTCAAATCACAGAGTTTAACTTTGAAATACAGTATGTATTTTTAAATATCTGACTCTGAGTCCTTGTTCCTGCCTTCCATCAGCATCTGTGGTAAAATCTCAGATGTCCAATGTATGAGTAACCACTGTTGTCCTGAACAGAATATTGGGGAATCCATAAGTTTTCTTTATTTTGTGGTACATTTCAAAGTATTTCCTTCTCATGATTGATTTACCTTCTTTAGAAGAGAAGAAGGCTATGTTACAAGAAATAGCTAATCAGAAAGGTGTGTCTTGCCGTGCACAGGGATGGAAAGTTCATCTTTGTGCTGCACAGTTATTGCAGCTGGTAAGTGGGAAAACATGTTCATTTCTTATGAAATGGGGGAAAATCTTTTGGGACAAACCTTAGCCTAGCAAGTCATTTAAAAATAGTATATACATACATATGTGTAAAACTAGTCAATGGATTGTAGTTAAATACCAATTAAGAAATGTCTGCTGTCAAGTTACAGTGAAGTATTTTGGTATCAAGAGAATCTGTAGCTTTAGTGTAGATGGAGCCTTTGATTTAGGCATAAGAGCTGATACATTTTATACAGATGCTCAAAACTGGAAAATCCCTCCCTTGATGCACAGATCTGAAGAAGTGTCTGGGATGGTGCCGCTGACCTGAGGAGGCAGCACTGCTCCACATTCCTGGATGCTTCTGTTTCAGGTGGGGGTGAGGTAGGTGCTCTGTATTCTAGCACCAAGCGCCCCAAAACCTTTACATTGCCACAAGAGTAATCAGGAAAAATGAGTTTACACTGCACATTCAGAAGTACAGGAGGTACTATGCATTTGTTAAAAAAAAAAACCTTGAAGTTGCAGTGCGGATCAAGGTTTTGATCCAAGTATAAATGATAATAAGAAAAGTAAGAATTCAGTGCGATTTCACTGATCATGAATAAGGATTGCGTATGTGTTTGTTGGAAGGTATTTCTGCTGTTCTGCACTACAGGAAGTGAAGAATAGGAAACAAGTTTCCCTGTCCAGTAATGGATAAAACAGTTTTGAAGCCTTGTTTCATTAGCTTCATAAAACCATTGTAATGAAGGGATTGTGACCTGAACAAGTAAATTTTACTTTCAGCAGTGAAAAGTAGTTGAAACAGTAAATACACTAGAGAGGAGATGGAAGGTGTTTAGTTTATATAGCTCTTAATATGAAGCAGTGTGAAAATGTGCAGTGTTCTTGCCCAATTCTAATATTTTATAGACTAATCTGGAACATGATGTATATGAAAGACTCACCTCCCTGCAAGAAGGAATTATCCCCAAGAAAAAGGCAGCAACTGATGATGACTTGCATCGGATAAATGAGCTAATACAGGTAAAGGGATTACTGTTCTTTCCTTTTGTAAAAGGTTAACTAGTACAACAAGTTATTTTGAAATTAAACTGAACTAACCACATTATATTTACAGATGGGGAAAATGTGTGTCTGCATTTTTAAGCAAGCTTGAGTTAATTGCACTTTCCAGACTAATTCAGAGATCAGAACACACTTGCCCTTGCAAATTTTGGAGAAGGGGCACTGCTATTCTGTGCCAAAGTTGCATTAGGAAAATACTGAAAACTGATGAAGGAATGGAATGGATGGAACGGAACAAGCTTATAGCAAAATGCATGCAAACTAAGATGGATTGACTTGCCTATATCCATTTTAAATACATAAAATAGTAGTATGCACAAAAAAATGAATATGCACATAGCCCTTTGAAAAGATAATCACGGGTGTGTTTAAATGTCACACCAAAACATGAGCAAAACTACACACATGTGTAAGTTAAAACTTTTTTAAAAAATAAATGGTCAGGTACTCTCAGATTTGTCATTCTGTACAGCCCTGTGATGGTGGGAATTTGCTCATTCAAAAATAGAAAAGAACCGTAAAATATAGTGAATGTTATTGTGCCTCCGGGCAGGGGTGAGCAAAAAGGAGCCCAACAGATGCTGCTGGACAGCAGCTTCCACTAATCCTAACCAGCACAGCAACGCTGGAAGTTGCAGTCCAGTAACATCTGGAGGATGGCACCTTCCTCATTCTGGAAGACAAGCCAATTTAATAAACTTCTAAACCAAATTATGACTAGCCACATTTTGTCCAGATCTCAATATGATGTTAAGTTGCAGTTAGTTAAAAACTGAAGAGAAAGCTTCCTGCCATCTTGCAGTCGTATTAGAGGAAGGAGAAGGAATGAAAATGCATAGGCTCCAGGCTTGTTCACTTAATACTGAGTATTTGTTGAGCACTGTGTCTGAGCAAGGTCATTGTCTCCTTTACTGGGTCTTTCAAAGTGCAACATGTTGCTGATAGAATCGTGCTGCGTCGTTATGCAAAAGGCGTAACTTTTAGAGGTGAATTGCTGCCAGTTGAAATCTCTGTAGATGTTCCCTTTTGCATAACTGCAGAGCAGGATTTCAGCCAAGGTGTATGAAGTAGAGGATCTAGTTTCTTAGATGGTTATCCAGGGAAGAAGAGGATTGGAGACTTGGGAACATTTGTATGGGTCATCCATTTTTGAAAGATTCTTCATTGTTTGCTTGCAGCTCTTTCACTCATAGACTGTCTGACATTTCACAGATAATTACTCAAAAACTATTTTCATGCCTTTGAAGTGTTCAGCCCTTTTAATAGGAGTGCTGTGTTTATTTCAGGGGAATATGCAGAGATGCAAGCTGGTAATGGATCAAATAAGCGAGGCTCGAGAATCCATGCTAAAGGTTTTGGATCACAAAGAGCGTGTTCTGAAACTTCTCAACAAGAACGGAACTGTCAAGAAAGTATCCAAATTGAAGAGAAAAGAAAAGGTCTAGAGCCAGAGCTGTAAGGACTCTGGAAACAAAAAATGATTTTACAGAACAGTGTTAAGGCTTGTTTATTTGGGGGGGGGTTATTTTAGAGAGCTGTATTTGAGTGGGGAGAAAACCCCAAGTTTCAGAGAAGGACAATGGATTAAGACATGGAACCCATAATCCCTAAGGGACTATTACTGACCTTTCAGAGGAACAAAGATTTTTCTCAGGCTTGTCCCTGTTTAAACTCTTTAACAGTCACATTTTGTTTAGCCCTCTTGATGTGCCAGTGCCTAATAATTGGAACCATTGATACAAACATAATAGACAGTCCCCACCCTTCCGTCTTAGTTTTAAATGTAACTTCACAGGTTTGTACAATGGATTCCTGCAACAGACCTCAAGAACCATCTGTCTTGAAACTATCTGTCGTAAGTGTTCAGATTTTTAAGAGATGACACTACTTCCACTTAGCCCTCTCTGTTGAAGCTCCTTATTGCAGTGGCTGGAACAAGCTTCATTAAACCAGTGCCATTGCATTGGCAGTTTTGCTACATTTAGAATCTTAAGTGGTTCTGAAGTCTCTTGCTGTCAGTTTTTTTTTTAAAAAAAAATACATTTCAAAGTGATTTTTAGTGTTGTGATGTGTGTGTGTGCGTGTGTGTGCCCATGTTGGTGCTCCAGGATATTGTTTTCAAAATACTCTCTTACAGCACAGTACAACTGTAGTTGGTGTGATGCTATTCATTGTGTTGCATACAATTGTGCTATATAACATCCTGAAAATATAAATAAAGGATTTACAGGATTTTGTTTAAGAACAGCTGGTCTGATTTCATGTAAGTATAGATAGATAGCTCAGTAGTTTAGGTATCTGGCTGCAGAGCCAGAGGTTGGGAGTTTGATTCCCTGCTGTGCCTCCTGCAAGTAGAGCCAGCCTGTATGGCCTTGGGCAGGTTGCACAGTCCCATGGCACCCCCAGAAGAAGGGAATGGTAAACTCTTCGGAGTACTTTCTACCTGGAAAGCCCTAAAAAGAGTCACCGTAAGTCAGAAATTATTTAACAGCACCTGATTATTATTAAATATTATAAATAGCAAAGAAAGTCCAAGTAAGATACTGGGTAAAATACAGTGGTGCCTCGCATAACGTTTGCTTCGTTTAACGTTTTTTTCGCTTAACGTTTATTTTTTCAGAGTCAGATTGTGCTTCGTATAACGTTTTTCTCTATGGGCGATTTTCACATAGCGATTTTGGGACCATGCTTCGCTTAACGTTTTTGGTTTTAGGTCCCCTGCTTCACTTAACGATGTTCATTTTTTCAATTATAAAAGTGTCTTAACATGTTGAAAAACGGTTTTAAATGCTTGGAATCGTTAGTGCACCTTCTAAAATGTGTGCATACTTAATTTGGCGTTGATCTGACTTTTTGTTAATTTTTTGTGAATTTTTTTCTCCCCCATAGGAAACAATGGAGCTGTCAGATTTTGACAGCTGTCAAAAGTTGGCGGGAAAAAATTCAGCATAAATTAATGAAAAGTCAGATCAAAGCCAAATTAACTTTTGCATCCGTTTTAGAGGGTGCAGAAGCTAATCCAAGCATTTAAAACCATTTTTGACCCTTTTATGACACACTTAATTTTGCAAAAATTGACTTCGCAAAGCCATTGAAATGTATTGAGTCAGCTTCAATACATTCCAATGGAGGAAACATTGTATCGCTTAACAATGTTTCCTATGGGTTTTTTCGCTTAAAGACGCCAATCCGTGCCTTATGCGAAAAAAGGCATTCCTATGGGAAATGGTGTTTCGCATAAAGTTTTTTTCGCATAAGGTTTTTTTTTTTAACCAATTAAAAACATTATGCGAGGCACCACTGTAACTGCTTTGCCCCAGGATAGTTCAAGAAAATGATGAAGTAGTAACAAAGATAATGTTTATGTTGCTTTATCAATGTTATTGATCATTTCTCCAACTTCTCCCATTTCTGTATAAGCAGTGTTACATCCTGTATAACTGCAGTACTAAAACAACCTACAGAAAATATATATATATTGGGTAAAATCCTGCTGAACAACCCCACCATCATAAATGGTGATGATGTCATCAGCTGCAGATGTTAAGTTTTAATTCAGTTTAATTCAAATTCTGAGGCTCCCTAGGTGTCTCTTTCAACCCAGGGAAGCCTTTAATATTCAGAAATTGCAGGAGGTGGTCCCACTGCTGGGATCAGGACCAATGGCTGCACTTTTTTGGATACTAAAAGCTTTCCCCTCCTATCCTGAGGCTCTCACTTTTCCCCACATTGAAAGGGATCCCTAAGGAGTTTTGAACATGTGAGGGGGGAGAAAAACTAAGTTAAAGATTAATGTCTGCAGCTGAATACATCATCACCATTTGTGACTCTGCAGCTTCACCAAGGAATTTCAGCCATAATGTTGCAATCAGAATACTTACTTTATTGGACCACAAGCTGGATACCAACTCATCCCCTGATGTTTCTCATGTGCAACTCCTGTTAATTTCAGTTACGACAGAACAGAATATACCAATACAAAGGGAAATGTGTCAGTTTAGATGTTGTTGAATTGTAACTTGCATGATTCCTCAGTCTCCCATTGTTGCACCAGGCTATGTCCTTAACCATTTAAGTAAGGTTCTGTAGGCACCTTTGGACACCTAGATTCTGCCTTCAAATTGTAACTTCTTATGCATCATTTGACTATGCGGACCTTTGTCGGCAAGGTGATGTCTCTGCTTAAGATGCTATTTAGGTTCATCATCACTTTCCTCCCAAGAAGCAGGTTTCTTTTAATTTCGTGACTGCTGTCCCCATCTGCAGTGATCATGGAGCCCAAGA